TCCTGCCTTTTTCCTACAAAGGGCTCAAGGCAGCTTACATCTCCTCCATCTTATCCCCACAACAACAACCCTGTGAGGTAGGTTGGGCTGAGAGTCTGTGACTGGCCCAAAGTCACTCAGTTGGCTCCATGGTGGAGCGGGGACTCGAACCCAGATCATCTGAGTCCCAGTCCCATGCTCTTAACCACTACACCACACTGGCTCTCTTAACTGGGATGAATGCTTCCCACTCCAAACTCAAGGGCTGACTGCATATAGTATGCCAACTTTCCAGAGGCCTTTTGATACACTTTTTAGACAATACTTTGCCCCATTTTAAACAGTATTAAATATCTCCATTTGATGTTATGCTTCTAGTTGCATTTCTCTTATCCTTCCTACCCCAATTTTAACCACATGAATCCATAGTCTGTAATGACACTTTGTTAAGAGAAAAATTAAGAGAAATGAAAACCTCATTTGTGTGGGCATTTGGTGTGTATTTAAACATTTTAGAATACTTTTCTATAAGATGAACAGTGAAATAGACCATATCATAAAGACAAGTCAAGCCAAGCCATGATCTCAAAAAGCCCCATGAATTTAGGTGTTTATCATATGCCATCAAGTTATCTCAAATTTATGGTGACCCTATCCGTGACATCCCTGTTTTTCTAAATTCAAAGTAGTGGCTTCCTCTATAGAGTCAATCCATCTCATAATTGATCTTCCTTTTCTTCTGCCTTCAACTTTTCCTAGAATGATTATCTTCTCTATGAAACTAGGTAACAGTTACAAATAGTAATTTGTTTTGTGCTCCTACACCCTCATCCTTGCCATCTTTTAGTTCTTCTGGAATAGCACCTTCTATCGGTTCCAGCCAGAATGGCCATTGGTAAGGATTGGTAGGCATTAAAGTCCAACAACTTTGTGGGGACTACTATTGAGAAAAGAAGCAAAGCAATTTTGCTCATATCTACTGAGAGATTAACTGCCTCAGGCCTTTTCCAGTTATTAGTTGGTTGGTTGGCTGGCAGTCATTCCATCAGGCTACCTTAAGTATTTTCATCCCAGCAATCAGAATTATAACTTAAGAACTGTTCTCTGAACTTACTTTTGCCCTCCTTTCTTCCATCCCCCCTATTTAAAATGTCACGTTTTTTAGATTGACTGGAAGCCTAAAGTAAGGAACTGCCGCACTCCTGATATTTGTAAATTGGAAGGCTTTTTGACTAAAGAGCAAGGTAAAAAGCCCTTAATAAAATAGATCTCCTTTTTTATTGCTGCATAGGTGTTGTAGCATATGTTGAAGTATGGTCATCCAGCAGAACAGAAAACTATTCAGAAACCTTTATCCAACAACTACTTGATATGGGAGCAAAAGTAAGTAATGCTTTCTAAAGTTGCTGCTTACATGTAATTTTCTTTTCCATTCATGAGTTTTAATATGAATATTATAGATATGTATTTACATATGTGCCAATATTTAGCCAAGAACATTTACCTTTTTTTTTTGTGAGGTCTTGTAACAGTGATCTGTAGTCTAAACACTGTAATATAACTAAATTTTTAGTATGTGTACCTGAAATAATCACATGTTCTTACTTAATAAAGGTTATCTCTCTACTTTCTACCAGAAATAGCACTTGAGGAGGGTAATAAAATAGAGATTACTTAAAACATAACATGAAATGAAATTAAAAATGCAGCAAGAAATACAATAGTAAACCTTTCAGGAGCAGTCTATGTGCTAAAGGCCTGACTGAAAAAAGTCATTCCCTACCAGGCTCATGGAGAAGGAAACAACCGGGCCTCCTTCACCAGGGAGTTTTAATGTCTTGAAGCCCCCACCAAGAAGGTCCTCTCTTGTGTTCCCCAAACATCTGATGGTGGTGAGGCAAGGTGAAGGATCGTTATAGAAAATCTTAAAAACCAGGCAGGTTCATATGGAAGTGTAGCCTTTCTCACCAGCATACTTCTAGATCTCACTTCTACAAAGATCTTGCCTATAACTTCAAATAGTATAAATTGAAAACTTACTATCATTGAACAGGTAGAGGTCAAAGCTATATCCACTGAAACTGTATCAACTATGGCATCCAAGCTAGACAAACAATTTTACCTGCAAAGTATCATTCAGATTTGTCACAATATGCTATGGAGTGGTCTACATTATCTTCTTATGGACCACATATAGCTTTTGAACTTGTAGAACCCCACACCAGCACATTTAGAAGTAGACATTTAGAAGAGTCTAAAGCAATTGCACATATGGGGTGTAAGTAAAGCACTTTGTGTTTGTCTGATTGAAAATGTCCCATTCCAGTCCACTTTTGTTCACTCACACCAAGTATTGCAATGTTTAGCCATTACATTTCCTACCTTACAGTTTCCAGTTTGTCTTGGTTCATACTTCTCACGTTCCGTGTTCTAATTGCATATGTAGTGCAGCACTGGACTTTCCTTTCACCTCTGTGCATGTCAGCCACTAAATTTCCTTTCACTTTGATCTAGTTGCATCATTAGCAACAGTATTTGTACTTGTCCTTTGCTCTTCCACAGTAGCTCAATGAATGCCTTCCCACCTTGGGGTCTCATTTACTGGTACTATTTCTTGTTACATTTTGGGTTGTTTCATCATAGGGTTTTTGCAGATTACTGCCTTCTTGGCTGTACTAATCAGGGTCAGCCTGAGCTTCTGCCATTGTCTCTGAAAGATCCTCTGCCATTGTCATCTTCAATTACTGCTGCTGTCCAGTAGCTACTCTTTATGAGTTTCTCTGTCCTCAGCACCATTAGGGATATCTATTCTGCTGGTTTAACAGTTCTTCCTGAATAGAGTGGATATATCTTACACTAATGTATCTTCTTTGACCATTCCACTTTGAGACCAGCCTGGTGAGATAGTCTCGTCTCCTGACAGCATTGCTCTAGGTGTCTTTGTCACTCTCAAACCCCCTCATCACATTAAGGTGTTCAAAAGGGGGTCATTAGTAATAGCAAGTAAAAAACACAGATCAGTCTACCATCCTTACAAATTCCATGGGTTACATGCTTCTGTTCGATTATGATGAATGCTATGCTGTTCAGCAAGCTTGTCCTATCTAAGGAGTGACCACTGTTCATTTCCTTGATCATTGCTCCAGACCTTTTGACATGTAGAACAGAGGACAGTACCAACTTCCCCAAGCCTCATCAAGAATAGCTGTCTTAGCAATAAGCACTTAGCTACAATACGTAAAAACCAGGATTCATACTGAGAAGAATTATACATGGTGTGAATTCTTGCTGTTTGGCAATGGCATTTCAGTATTTTCATTATTACTACAGATACATCTGGTATTAAAATTATGCAGTAGAAAAGGTTTTTATAAATCTTAAACATTTTTGTATATTAAATGTTGCTGTTTGAGTTGCCCTCTGTTTCTATAAACCCTTTTGCGGTGGCGCCCCACTTATGGAATGCGCTCCCCAGAGAAGTCCGCCTGGTGCCGTCGTTATTTGTTTTTCGGAGCCAGGCCAAGACCTTTTTATTTCAACAATATTTTAATAACTGTTAATATTATTTATTGGTTTTAATTTCTACCGTCAGGGAGAATCCGGATTGTATACGTATTATTTATATGCTGTTTATTTATTATGTTGGAAGCAATGTGTTGTCCATGCTAGCATGAGAGAGTAAACTTATCCAAAGCAAATATTTTCTTTTACATCTGAACCTTGATTTCTGGCTTGTTGTGCACTCTCAACAGCTCAGAGTCTAAAGGCAGGTGCAGCAGGTGAGTTTCTGAGTCATGGCAGTTGGATGTTGCAATGTACTTCTTTCTCTTTTTAGTGAAGGCTGCAGTCTCATTTTAAATATTCTTGTAAATTTATGTCCATCGATATCCAAGGTACTAAAGAAGTTGAATGTGAAAACTCTGTATGGGACTTCAGCAGCTAAAAATCCTAAAAGTTTTATGGCTGGAGAATTAAGAAATAACAGAGATTTTTAAAGAACACATTTATTATGGCATAAGATTTCATATACACTGCATCAATGAACTTAAAATACATTAATCAATCCATTAAGTTGCTCAAGGTGTATACCAAACTACTGAGAAGCCAACTTTTCTTCTTGAGACAAAGTAATGAAAAGTCTTAATTATCTTTGTTTTTAAAGCTGCAAATTTCCAGCTTACCCCCTAGAGCATTGTATAAGAACCGAAGGCACAAATCCTGTTGTAAGAGTTTTTTTCCTGTTTAAACATGCATAGAATTGTTCCCTAAATTATTCAGTACAATGGAAGAGTTTTATTAGTAAGAATTTCTTGATAATTTCTAAATATATTTCCTTTCCTTGCATTTTGTAGGTTTCTAAGACTTTCAACAAGCAAGTAACTCATGTAATTTTTAAAGATGGACTTTCATCTACATGGAATAAAGCTCAGAAAGTTGGGGTTAAAGTAGTGTCAGTGCTTTGGGTAGAAAAGTGAGTATTGCTATATTGTGCTAGAAGAAACTGTACTAAAAAGGAAATGTTCATGGTTGCAAGCATTCACAGTATGTAATTATCTTATAGTTGCATAAAATAATTATAAGTAAGAACTTCTTGTCACAACTATGCAAGAATCCAGACTGAAAGTGCAAAAGATGACTGCATTATGGACATCCTATAGCTCATGAGTCCTCAAACTATGTCCTGGGGGCCAGATTTGGCCTGCCATGCCCATTTGGGTGCATGCATGCACATCACTGCCCACCTTGCCCCATGCATGGAAGGCAGCGGTTTGCTCACTCAGAGAAAATGATCTCCGAGTGAGCAAGCTGCTGCCTTGTGCACCCGTCTCCCAGTGCGCACCTGCCTGTGCCTTGCCTGCGCCTCCCTCACTGAGCGTGCCTGCCCATGCCTCGCAGTGCGCCCCGCCTCAGTGCATGCGTCTGCACACACCGGCCCCGCCCCCTCACCAGCATGCACACACAACCAGGCACCACCTTTCCAGCCCGCACCCAGCACTGGCAGCTTTCAGCTGGCCCCGTGGTGAAAAAGGTTGAGGACCCCTGCTATAACTTATTAGTTCCTGTGTACATACATGGCATATGGAAGGTTCCAAGTTCTATTCCTGAGAAAACAGTGGTCTCAAGTGTTGGGAGAGCTGCAGTATAATACCAGGCAGTGCTGATAATACTCAGCTAGATGGAACAATGAACTGGCTCAGCATACATATTTATATGTTGTTTACAAGTATTTTGTGCTTTAGGAGGGTAATGCAAGTGTTATCTAAACTACAAAAATGTATTTGATCCAAAAAAAACCCTCTTTTCTAATTCTTGGACATAAATAGAATATTTATGACAAAGTTTAAAAGATAACAAAATGAATGGTCAGTACAATTACTAATTTTCTAAAAATTTTGTTGTTGTTGTTAGTCGCGAAGTCGTGTCCGACCCATCATGTCCATGGGGACAACATTCCTCCAGGCCTTCCTGTCCTCCACCATCCCCTGGAGTCCACTTATGCTCACACCAACTGCTTCAGTGACTCCATCTAGCCACCTCATTCTCTGCTGTCCCCTTCTTCTTTTGCCATCTATTGTTCCCAGCATTAGGCTCTTCTTCAGTGAGTCCTTTCTTCTCATTAGGTGGCCAAAGTATTTGAGTTTCATCTTCAGGATCTGGCCTTCTAAAGAGCAGTCAGGGTTGGTCTCCTCTAGGACTGACCAGTTTGATCGCCTTGCAGTCCAAGGGACTCTCAGGAGCCTCTTCCAGCACCACAATTCAAAGGCCTCAATTCTTTAGCGCTCAGCCTTCCTTATGGTCCAGCTTTCACAGCCATACTTTGCAACTGGGAAAACCATAGTCTTGACTATAGGCACTTTTGTTGGCAGGGTGATGTCTCTGCTTTTAGTATGCTGTCTAGATTTGCCATAGCTTTCCTCCCCAGGAGCAAGCGTCTTTTAGTTTCACCCATCTGCAGTGATCTTGGAACCCAGGAAAATAAAATCTGAGGTTGTTGATATTTCTCCCAGCAATCTTAATTCCAACTTGTTTCTGAAAATACAAGCATTCTACTTACATAGTACCTTCCAAAGTTCTGCTGCATTGTGAGTGATTGGTAAACCCCATCTACACAGCCTGATAGCTAACATTTAAATTTGCCTCTTCTTCCCAATTAATGTGTGATGATCAAAGCCTTGTTGACCATTACATTTATGAAGGATTTATCAGTATATCAAATATGTAAAAGTTGATCTCCTTTCCAAAAAAAAGAAAGAGGATGTAAATCAGATGACCTGTAGAATTTGGTAAAATCAACTCAGTATTAACAATTGAACTTGTAGCTTATATTTAATCAGTGTTTCCATGACAGTATATATTTTCATCTTCATTATCAAAACATGCCAGATGACAGAGGAATAATGTATCTGCTTTGCAACTGTAAGATCACTAGATGTCACTAGAATCACATTGTGGAACTGCTTTAATTTCTTGCTGGATCCAATGGTTTTGTATCCTTAGTTCTATACCAAAAGATCTGAAAGCAGTGAATTTTACACTTCTTACTTGCCTGGAGCACTTGCATTAACTTCTTTCTTGTAGAATCTTTTTGTTGCAGAGGAGACTGGGATCTATTTAAAGTGCTTTTTGCATTTCACAGTTGCCCTTTATGAACTGTGGGCCTCTCCCAACATACTCAGCTGTACCTTGCAGCTTAAATTGCAAGTTAAATTTGTCATAAGTGCAACTGCAGCAACATTTTCAGTGTGGAGTGCTCCTATTCATTGCTCAACTATTCTTTCTTCCAGTATATTCTATTCCATTTTCTCTTTTTCTGTTGCCCTACCTACTCCTAACGGTCAATCAGAACTCAATGCCATTCACCATGCTCAGTCCTTGTGGGGTGGGGACTCTCAGGGTTTTTAAAATATTGTTCATATTTCCCTGGGGTTTCTCAAGTATGTTCTTAATTCTTCCTTGTTTATAGGTGGTGCCGTTTTGGTTACATACAAATTCAGAATGAGTTTCCTATTGGTATCTATGACAGTGGACAAACTGTCTTTTAGGAAAGTCTGTCATCTCTTGCCTGTGTTCTCATAAACAGGTTCTGAAAACCCTTTCATAGAATTCATTCTGGGATCCACTCTTGTAGACTGGTTAAGTCCAATATTAGATAACCATGAAAGATGCTTTATAATGTGTTTATTTATTATTTATTTATTTAGAGAACTTCTATGCCGCCCCATTCTCCGAAGCCTCGGGGCGGCTCACAATCATAAATAAATAAACACAATATAAAACAGTATAATTTAAGTCGCCCTGGCCAAAGAATAAAATAAATAAATAGTATTAAAAATTAACATAACGTTTGAATAAAAAGGTCTTCGCCTGGCGCCGAAAAACAAATAACGACGGTGCCAGGCGGACCTCTTTGGGGAGCGCATTCCATAAATTGGGCGCCACCGCAGAGAAAGCCCTCCTCTGAGTACTTACCCTCCTAATATCCTTCACGGAGTGTTCCCGGAGAAGGGCCTCTCCCGCTGATCTCCAGGGGCGGGCAGGCATATATGGATGTAAGCGCTCCTTCAGGTAACCAGGACCCAAGCCGTTTAGGGGTTTATAGGCCATAACCAACACCTTGAATTGGGCCCGGACTTCAATGGGAAGCCAGTGAAGCTGACAGAGAACTGGAGTCAGGTGAACATAAGGCCCAGTCCCCGTCAGCACCCTGGCAGCTCTGTTTTGAACCAATTGAAGTATCTGGACCGTCTTCAAGGGCAGCCCCACATAGAGCACGTTACAGAAGTCACCAATGCGTGTGTCACTGTTGCCAGGCAGTCATTCTCCAAGTAGGGGCACAGCTGGTGGATTACCCAAAGCTGATAGAAAGCACTCCTTGCCACTGCTGTCACCTGAGCTTCCAGTGAAAGCTCTGGGTCGAGAAGCACTCCCAAGCTGCGGACCTTGTCCCTAAGAGGGAGTGCAACCCCATTCAGGACTAAGTTCAATTCCCCTTCCCTGAAGCCCGATCCGCCAACCAACAGGACCTCCGTCTTGTCTGGATTGAGCTTCAGTTTATTGGCCCTCATCCAGCCCATTACCTTGGCCAGGCACTGGTTCAGTACAGCCACTGCCTCACCTGGACTGGTAGAGAACGAGAGGTAGAGCTGGGTATCACCAACGTACTGATGATTCCGCAGCCCCCCCCCTCCTGATGACCTCTCCCAGCGGTTTCATGTAGACGTTAAATAGCAAAGGGGACAAAATGGATCCCTGCGGTACTCCATGGCATAGCTGCCATGGCGCAGAGCCATAGTCCCCTAGTGCCACCTTCTGGAATTGGCTATTGAGATAGGAGCGGAACCACTGCAAAGCAGTGCCTTCGACCCCCAGTCCCGCTAGCCTATCCAGAAGGATACCATGGTCGATGGTATCGAAAGCCGCTGAGAGGTCCAGGAGAACCAACAGGGACGCACTCCCCTTGTCTTTCTCCCTGCACAGGTCATCGTACAGGGCGACCAAGGCAGATTCAGTACTGTACCCAGGTCTGAAGCCGGACTGAAATGGGTCCAGGTAATCAGTTTCACCCAGGAGTGCTTGGAGTTGTCCTCTCACCACCCGCTCCAACACCTTGCCCAGAAACGGGATGTTGGCCACTGGTCTGTAATTAGTAGCCATCTCTGGATCCAGTGACGCCTTCTTCAGGACTGGTCAGACTACCGCCTCCTTTAAAGGGGCAGGTACCCGGCCTTCCCTCAGAGAAGAGTTAACCACTTCCAAGATCCAGGTCCCAATCCCGTGTTTGGTGTTGTTAATTAGCCAAGATGGGCAAGGGTCCAATAGGCAAGTGGTGGGACGCACTCTTCCAAGCACCTTGTCCACATCATCAGGCCTCAATAACTGAAATTCATCCATTAATTTTGGACCCGACTGCGACATTGGTATCTCCCCAGAAGCCTCTGAATCACTAGTGGAGTCCAGCTCGTGACGAATCTGACCGATTTTCTCCCTGAACTGCTTGGCAAAGTCATCACAGCGGGCCTTCGAGGGTGGAACCAAATCTTTCTTAGGGCCAGGCTGAACCAGCCCTTGTACCACCCGAAAGAGCTCCGCCGGACGGCATTTTGAGGAGGCAATGGAAACGGAGAAGAATTTCTTTTTTGCCGCCCTCACTGCCACAGCATAGGCCTGATAATGGGTTCTTAAGTGTGTTTGGTCAGATTCATCCCGTGATCTCCTCCACCTACGCTCTAGACGTCTCCCAGCCTGCTTCATCGCCCGCAATTCAGATGTATACCAAGGGGAAGAGTGGGCTCTGCCTGGCAGGAGAGGATGCTTAGAAGCTATCGTGTCAACAGCCCTGATCATTTCCCCATTCCATAGTTCGACCAGAGCCTCGACAGGAGCACCAGTCTTGTCAGCCGGAAACTCCCCCAGGGCCTTCAGGAATCCATCCGGATCCATCCGGCTCCGGGGGCGGACCCACACAATCAGGTCTGCACCCTTACAGAGGGAGAGGCTGCTCTCGAGCACAAACCTCATGAGGAAGTGATCTGACCATGACAGGGGTGTCAGACATAAATCCTTCACCCTCAGACCACCCTCTTCCTGGCTCGTCGAGAAAACCAGGTCCAGAGTGTGTCTACGATCATGGGTTGGGCTTGTGACATGTTGAGACAGCCCCATGAGGCCATGAAGTCCTGAGCCGCCCCAGTCAGACCAGTCTCGGCATGGAGATTGAAGTCCCCCAGGACCAACATCCTGGGGGTCCTCAACACCAGGTCCGAGACGATCTCCGTCAGCTCAGGCAGGGAGACTGTTGGGCAGAAGGTGCACGGTACACCAACAGAATCCCCAATCTGTCTTGGTCGCCCAACACCCAGTAGAGGCACTCTAGCCCCGGCCCCGAAGGGACAGTATCACACAAAATTGTTTGATAGTATCACACAAAATTCTGTGATATACTTTATACAATTCTGTCATAAAATGTATTTCTGATCTATAGACATAGGAAAGTGTATCTGGCAGGTGAGAGGCCTCCTCAGGTGTGTTCTTAGAAGGGCCGTTTAATGCATTATACAGTGCTTGCACTGAAAGTACTTGCCTGAAGAAATTTGCTATTTATACTTGTAGATTATATAAAAGAACTCCACAGTATATTATGTTGCTCTAAGACAACTATGTCATTTCTTTATTACAGACCTAATCACAAATAATTTATGTTGTTACCTGTTACTGTCTACCACATGTAGTTTTTCAACGTTTTCCTAGTTGATTTGACTCAGTCACGTATCACATCTGGAAGTGGAATTTTTTGGAGTATATAGAACTAAAGAAGTTGCGGCAATGCTCGTTAGCAAGAGGTTGCTGCAGGCAACCAAATGTTTGTTCCTGAGTTTTCCTTTCTAACCAAATGAGCCAGAAAATATATTTAGGAATTGTTTGGTATATGTTCTGTCTTGCTGAAATTCTATCACAGTGAAGGCAAACCTTTTAGAGACCGAGTGCCCAAATTGCAACCCAAAACCCAAATCTTTATTGCAAAGTGCCAACCCTGCAGATTTAAATATGCCAGAGGGACAGCACAACATTAAAAGAATCTCAGTCTCTTAATTAGAACATCTCTTTGCTAAATCATAGATATTAAATGTCAATTTTTCATAAGAAAACTCAAAGCTAAAATCTTGTGTTAATTAAAATGAAAGTATTAAAACTCACAGCCAGTCCCTTGGCAGCGCACTGACCAGCCATGCAAAAGCTCGGCCGAGTCGTGGCTAATGAGTCGCAGCTCATGATGTCATCGCCTGGCACCGCTACTCCTTTCCGAGCATGCACACAGCCCCTGTGTGAGATGTTATCCAATGCTTGGCTGCTGGGGTGATGCTGGGGCGATTTGGCTTGTGTGCTGACACCACGCCTGCCATAGGTTCGCCACCACTGTCCTATTTTGAAAAAAGATGGGTTAGGATTGAGGCATTTTACTTCTTTGAACATAAAACAGTGACCAATGAGAGCAACATTTAAGTCATTTCTTTAAAAATAGTTAATTTTACAATATAAAATACAATTAAAAGAAAAATGTACAATTAAAATAAAAACATGCAACATTAAACATGCAATTAAAATAATTTGTAAAAACACTGTGTATCACAGCACCGGGGCCATTGGTTACATCTGAGTCATGCTTGAAGAACTTTATCATAGATTCAGGCTACCTGAAAAACTAAGGAATGTGACTTAGTCTTTAAAGGTACTGTTCCCTTCCTATTTATTTTCTAAGTTACTAGCTCTTCTTCACTTTCTTGCTCTATCTCTTTTCATGGGTATATAAATAGAAACTCACTTTTCTAATGTGACATGCAAACAAGCAACTATTTCATTCAATGACCTGAGTTTCCAGACAAGATAAGGTTCTGAGGAATTTTGGAAAGGGCTGAAGGAATAGATGAGAACTGACCCTTAGGTAGCTGCTTTGGTTATCAGGGTAAGTTGAATAATGATGTATTAATAACATTTCAAGTGTCTAGCATCAAGCAATAGTAAATCTAATTCTACACCAAAGAGATGCATAAATTAATTCAGTGTGTTCTACTCAGATGCCGAGAGCTTGGAGCACATGTTGATGAGTCACTGTATCCTGCAATAAATACTAATGAAGGATTACCTCAGCTTAATAAAAAGGTGTGTATATGACTTGAAATCTGTCACCTACCACCCTACATGGTGTTAAAGATATTTGCAGGGTCGCTCAATTTCTCATATATGCCACAAAAATTTTATCAGTGGGATATCATTAAGTGTTTAAGCACAGGCTGGTATCATGATTTGTGAAACTTTCCGTTTATTTCTATAGGGATGTCAATTTTGTTTGTTTTTTACTTTCTCAGTTATCTATGGAAAGTGTTCTAAGTTTATCTGTTTTGCCAAACAATTTCTAAATATGCAGTGTTCTTACAGATTTTATCCCTGAAAAAGTAATCACACAAACTGCTGCACCTTTGTAGCAGGTCTGCTAGTCAGGGATATAATCTACCGAGTGTGCCCATCCTCACTAGGATCCAGAATACTGTGCTTCTTCTGGGTATAGTTTATATTTGTAGCATAGATTTTACTGCTGAGGCAGTGTTCTCTGATTGGGAAGTCTAATTGGGAAGTTTAAAATTCAGATAGTGAATTCCATAGACCTAATTCTCAAAAAAAAAAAAAAATCAGAAAAATATAAGTGGAATAGCTCACATGTTCTTTTTCAAGTGGCAGTGTTGTGAACTTTTCAGAGAACTTATCCTATTAGCCCATATAGAATGTAATAATAGTATGCCATATTTTGATCACATGTTGTTGAACTATGTCCACTGAGTTATTAACTAACCAGAACTCAGAGACAAAACTGTGAACAAAACCCAAATTCAAGAATGCATATTTTCCACATAATATAGTGACTAGTCCCATGTTGGAAAAATGAGCATGACATAGAACATTCCTAAATGCTTATCAGTAAAGAATATTTTAGATCAATACTTTTAATAAGAAGTCCAAGTATGCTAGGATGTTTACAGGGAAGGTTTTTTTTTTTTTTAATCCTCCTGCTCTCCATCCATGGCTTCAAAATTTCCAAAAATGTTGACAAGTTTTCTATAAAAGTCATTCTTGTATGTTTCAGAAATAATTTGGGGAAAGTAAAAGCTGGACAGGGATGAATTATCACCTTGTTTTAAGCATTTTATTTGTCAATTTAAAGTACAATATTACGTAATGCAAAATATTTAGGCATGCTCATATGTTCAGATAAGATACATTGTTGGATTCATGAAGTTGCTTCTATATTTTGCTCTGTTCAAACATGATTTTAAAATATATTCCAAGTTAGGACTTTGGCATTGGTAGAAATGCATTGTAAAGGATGTTATTACAAGCCTTATGACTCGATGCTATGATTTTGTTTTGTAGCATAAATGCATGCAACCCAAAAACTTCATAGAAAAAACTCCAGAAAATGATAAGAGACTACAAAAAAAATTGGAAATTATGGCTAAAGAGTTAGCAGTACAAAAAGCAGCTACAGGCAAGTATATGAACTGTTCATGTTAATGTTTTTTAAGCATGTGCACTGGCATATTGAGTGCAATGGTAAGATACCATTCCACAGTTGTACTTAACTAATCTCAACAAGTTGAGATATTTAAGAACTTTATAGAACATGGTGAACTATGAATGGAGAGAGAAGGAACAGGGCAAAGGACTCTTCTTAGTCTTCTGTTTCTTCTTTGAGACCGCTGCTTGCTTCTTCCTGGAGAGAAGAGGAATAACTGAAGAAATAGTGTGCGCTTGCCCTTTCTTATCCCTAGAGTTCTCAGATCCCTCCTGCTATTATGTTTCCCTTTGTGCCCAAGAAGAGAGACAGATGAAGGGTCACACAGTTTTTTCTGGGGCCTTTCATCTCCCTTTGAAGCAGGGAGTGCTCAGCTGTGCTCAACCAATGCAATTAACTCCTGGTCTCTACTCTGGACTCTACTCTCTTCTGATGATGACAATATCTAGAGGTAAAAGAAAGCTTTGGGTGAGAACTGGACTTTTTCCTGAAGTAATAGAAGTTCTTCTTTCTAGCCTTTCCCACTAGACCCACTTATAATTTAGGCTCCCAGACTGTTAACACTGGAACACTACTGGATATTGTAAAACATAGAACATCTTCTTGAAATAATCTTTTCTGCAGTTTCTTAAAATGTGTTTTTAATCACACTGATACAGTGGCTGCAGCCAATGTATGAAAGCAGGCTCTTATATATGGGTTAGATGGGATAAAATGCAAAAGTTAGCTAACTTTCATGTGCATTAGCTTGGATAAAATGCGCAAGTTAGTGATAAAACTATGGGGGACATAAGTTAGGGATGAACACTAATCACCATCTTTATCAGACATTCATCTCCTTGGTTGGGTGAGAAAGTTAGGCAACTTTGTGCAGAGAGAAATAACATAACTACATTTTCAAGTTGAGAAGTTGTATTTATTTTTTATTCAACAAAATGACCTCAGTGGGGTTTTTCCCCCACTTTAAAAATAGCTAATATCACCTCTCCAACTAGCATCTTTGCTACACTTGGTAGTGTGACTGCCTGGCACTTCAAAATGTTCCCTGATGCACCTGGTACAATGTTTTACAACACAGTGTCATTTTCAGGGAGAGAAAAAGGAAACACCATTTCTGCCAGAATAGTCACACTTATTCCCCTCACACTTTGGAAGGTTTCTACTCTTCAGATGTCTTCAATAATAGTAAACAAGCTAATAAAAATTAAAAAATATAGATAACTCCATTTCCTGTCTTGTCCTGATCTCAGCTATCAAACTTCACTATTGTTGCCTGTCATAATAGCGTCGACATTCTTGGTCAAGGTAAAAGCACAGAGATCTTGAACAGTGAAGAAGAATCACAGCCTCACTATAGTCATTTTATTCTTGCTCTCCCTGATTGCAAACCTAGACAGTGGATGTCAACAGTTGCCGAGCAGGACTACTAATTAAAAAATTGGGACTTAGAAGCATAAAGTACCAAACAGCACAAATAGTCCACATTCTCTATAACCACGGAATTTTAGTGGAGTGAATGGAATGAAATATACTAGAGTGATTGAAGCCATGAACAAGAAAGTGCCTGTTGCAAATTAAGCCCAAACGCATTTACCACAGATGCCACTTGTTTAGATCTATTTTAAACTTTTAAAAATTGCTCAAAATCTGGAGCTATGGTAAAAACATGTCTCTGTAAAGCTAGTTTTTCAAAACATTACTTACACTCTGATATGCCTGCTGTTGAAATAGAGAATCATTCTAACAAGTTTCCATTATAACTTTTTAGAAACTGACATTCCAGTTTTATTATTTGAAGATGATGGTTCATTAGTATACAGCCCCGTGACTAAAATAAAGTATCAGTGCAGTGCAATGGAGAGAAGAGTAAAGGAGATGAAAGAAAAAAGGGAAAATCTTTCCCCTACGGGTATGTTGGCAAGGATTTGTGAAAGGATAAAAACTTTTTTTAATGCTGTAGCTGTATTGGTGTTGCAATTATTTTACCAGCATTTCAAGACAAGTATTTCTTGCAACCTGGGTTTTTACATAGCTTGAAGAATATTTTAAAAAAATATTTTTAGAGCATGAGTACTCCTATCGAATATTTATTTATTTTATTTATTTATAAAATTTGCATGCCATCCATTACTTCCGTCTCTGAATGCTCTTATCCCTATAGCTTCTTTTACAATAGCAGTATAAAAAAACTTCAGAAAGCTTATCATAAATGGGAGCTGGTTGACAATGTTCTGTTCTCCTTCATCTGTGAGACAATCTTCAGTGGGAATGTAAGACATTTCTTGCTATGTCTGGAGCATTAGTGTGAAAATACTATACTTTTTAATGCTGACAGATCAAACACTTTATGGCTGTCATGCAGTCTATTTAACTGCATGATATTATGTTCTCAATGTTGGAAAAACTTCTCAGTGCATTGGTCTAAACTAATTTAACCTATCTGAAATTTGTTTCACAGTGCAAGAATTCTGGCTTGGTTCAGGCATAACAATAAGAAGTAGGGTACTATTATCGTTCCTGCTCAATTTATCCTGTTCCAAGTAGGAGTGACTAAACAAACCACAGATCTTCCATTTGTGGTTTGTTTAGCTTTAAGTGCAAACTGGGAACTGCAGCTTTTCTGTATTCCAGCAAGCCATACTTACAAGCCATGATTTGTTGTTGCTTTACAACTAGCTTCTTTTGGGGAAAGGAAAGGCAGCGTTTTTGAGCTACATGTAACACTCCACAAACCACATTGGAAGCCCTGTTTAATCATTCCCCCTTCCAATGGGAACAATTGGGCAGCATCTATAAACATGCTATTTGTAAACAATAGTTTATTGATATTTGACTGACTTTGTGAATACTTTGTGAAAAAAAAAATCATTAGGTATGGGGTGGAAATGCTTTGCCAGTCAGTTTCTGATTTATGCTCTTCTTTAATCTGTTCCTGTTCACTGTGAACAAATCTGGTTTTCACTGTCCTTGTAAGTCTGAAAACCAATTACATCTTTAATATTTAAAACAAAGTCTAATGTATGAAATGTTTCTTATTAGTGGCCTAGGGAGATCTATCTCAATTTTGTTTATAGATATCCATAAAGGATTTCAACCTTAGAATTAGCCTAAGCCAAATTATGTATTTAAAATAATGAGTTATTTAGCTTATATAAATCTAATATTTTGCATTATAGCTTCACAGATGTCTCAGAAGTCTGATTCCACTTCCTTTCCAGCAAAGCATGAACAGATTTCTGATTCTCCTAGATCAACTTGCATATTATCTTCAGGTAAAAAAGGAAGGAACGTTGTAAATAATATACTATTGAATTTATGCCTAATGCTTTTTTTAAAGAAAGCTGTGTAAAACGGATGTGTATGTGTGTGTGTGTAGCAGTTAAATTTCTGTAACTTGTATCCAAAATACAATTAGATAAGTTTTATAAGGCTCATTTCAGAGTCTTGTTTTATTGATCATATTTTGTATGATCTTAGGTTGGCATTCACAAAGCAACTTTGTGCATCCCACTAAGCTGCCCTTACCATAAATAATCATTGGTTAGCTGGAAACTAACTTGGTGACCTGGTAACTAGCTGCTTGATAATCTGACAAGCAGTTGGTGGTTCTGTGGCTTGCAGTGGTTCATTTACCCCCTCAGCCCTCCCACTGGCTTCCAGCCTATAACTCATGTGCCTTGTGTGGCATTCATGTGCTCGGTCCATATGCCATACCCTTTCTGCAATTGATCTACTAGGGTTGCTGACTACTGATGGAAATTCCTCCCTCCCAGCCCTACTGAAATTATTTTTTCTGAGCTCTTGAGAATATAGTAACCCATTCATGACTTTAAAAAAAGTTTTCCAGAGTCTTGCACAGGGTCTTGGTATAATCCAGGATACCAGTAATGCCCTCTTGTTAACATTCCAGTCACTTCCATGCCTGCTTTACTTGTGAACACCTGTTTTTCACAGACTGCAGGTTTTTCACAGACCTGCACACTAATTGTACTCATTCCAAAAATTATTTGCACACCTACTGAAAATAGACATCCAAATATATGCCTTCCTGAAACCCACTGGGTATTGGACGGGGTAAAAATTACCCAAATGATAATAATACTGATGTGCAAATCTTTAGGTTCCCCTCCCCCATTTTATGTTTGATGCTAATCCCTAGACCACCTCACATTTAAAGAGAAAAACCTTTCTACCTTCTTACCTGAAAATCCTTAGAATGTTGTCTATCAACTTTAAAACTGTATTGCTGTATTGCATATTTTATTATATGGGGCTTTCAATTATAGTATAAGACCCTTCAAGATAACATTTTAGGAGGGACTTAGGCAAACACCACATATAAAAAAATATTCTCTGAAGGAAAACACCATGTTGACAAAGTCATCAATTCTGTTGCTACATTTTTTCATAACCTGAGCATATGATTACATTAGCATTTGACAATGTTTAGTATTGCTGAAAGCACCTTCGTTGTCCCCCAGATGTTTTAGTCTACTTCTAGAATGCCTCAGTAGTGGCCATTCTGGCTAGAGCTGGTGAAACGTTTAGGCCAAACGATCTGGTGGCCTAAAAGTTTTCCACCACTAGGCTAACATTATGTGCTTTCCCTTTTCCTCCAACATAGCCATAAGAAGATTGGAAGGATTTGTTCTTATTTTCAAAGCTGCTGTTCGTCATTTTGTCAGCAAATATACAAACTGGTTTGTTTTTAACTGTGGTGTAACGCAACAAACCAACTTCAAAACTGCTTCAGGGTCTTAGATTCTTCTTTGAAAAATGCATAGGTCATAGTAACCATGGATAACCCATAGTATGCATAACAAACCATTTTATGATTTGTTGAAACCTGAACTCTTTGCTGCTGAGACAGATGAAGAGGGAAATTCATGCTGTTTGACTATGATTCAGCATTGCAGGTAGACAATGTTAATGGCATAATTCAGAGACCATCAGCACATGGACATTCCAGTAAAATAAGTAATTCTTAAGTTCTTAAATCCTGCTGAATTCAGTGGAGGTGCCCACATCTCCCAAGCTTTTTACCTTTCATTGCATAAATAGGCATACATGTATGCACATAAAATTATTTATGTATTAGATTTATATCCTGCCTTTCTTTTTTAAAGAATTCAAAGCAGCTTACATCCTTCTTACATCAGAATACTACTCAATTCTGTCCCCACAACAGCCTGGTGAAGTGGGTTGGGCTTTGAGTCTGTGACTTGCCCAGAGTCACCCAGTTGGCTCCATGGTTGAGCAGGGACTAGAACCCAGATCACCCATGTTCTTAACCAGTATACCACACTGGTTCTCTCAAAATTAGTAATGTTTATGGCTGTTGTGAACATGACTTCCTCCATACACATACAGAACCATACACATTCTGTTTCAGCCTTCGAGCAATGCAATGGAATGTTTCATGTGACACATACTGTTTTACAGTATATACAGTTTTTCCTATGAAGAGTGATCTGATAGTAAATTCATTTCGTGTAAATGATGTAACACTCGAACAAGTTGTAATGATTGAATAGTGTTTCTGAATTCATCCTAAATTCCTTGAACAGTAACAGTTTGTTATGGACTTTTAATAGAATTTTAACACCTGTCTGTTTTATACAAGGTGAGAGCAGTGACCCTTTAAAGTCAAGTTGTGCTAACATGTTGGAAAATTTTGAAACCAAGAATCTTGGAAAGGAATCTACTGAATATATGCCTGAAGTTGAAAGTGCTACAGATGTTTCCTCAGTTGAATTATGGAATTCCCCAATTTCCAAATTTACAACTCCAAAAAAACTGGATGTTAAACATTTACAAAAAAAACTAATTCTGTCTACTAGCTCAGAAAGTGACTTCCTTCCCAAAAAGGCAAAATCTGTAATGTCAACACAAAAACAAAGTAATAGGAATGACTGCTTTACAACTGATACTGGAAATCAGTTTTCTGAGACAAACAACTTGGAATACATCATTTCTTCAGAAAAAAATATTAATTTGAAAATTGCTGAAAGTCCCAGCCATAATAATTTAAATACAGAAGCTGATCTACCTTCAATGAATCTGACTCCTTCAATAATATCTGGTAATTATTCTCATCGGAAACAACAAAAGAAACCCAGAAGGAGATCACGCTTAGCCTTGAACACCTCAGGTTTATGTGAGAGTGATTGTCAAAATGACTTCTTGAAAGCAATGCTCACTCCTGTTAATTCTACTGAAGACCAAGATTCTTCTTTTGAAGATTATTTTTCACCTTCTAACTTTAATAAAAATAAAATAAGAGTTAGTCTTCCTTTTCCAAGCTCACCAAAATTGCAGAGTCCTGATAAAATGCTTTGTTCTTTGAGAAGCAAAACAGAGACACTGTTGCAAGGGCCAAGTAAAATCAGTACAATTTTTAGCCAAAAGAGGAAAAGAGAAACAGAGAACGATGGGAATGCTGAAAATAATGACAACGTGCAGCCTCTACAGTCTCAAAGAGAAGAAAGTGTGGCTTTAAATTATAACTCAAAGAGAGCAAAACGAGACAGAGTAGAAACCCCAGACTGTCTTCTGAATCTCAACAGTAAGGAACAGATCTGTGCAACCAGTGTAAATAGATGTTCTCCCACCACTGGTAAGTTGCTGCTGGAACATGGGCATTTAGAGAGAGAGTACCATGAACTAGTTAAACCTTCATTCTGAAGTATAGGTTGAGAGAGGACATTGGCTGAGAGAGGACATTTTCTAGAAAACACACTCAAGGATGAAAAACACTGTATGTGTTACCTCAATATTTTTAAGTGAAAGCAACTGTATTAGGATACTTTCCAGATATGGGAAGCAAACAGAACAAATAATCTGTTGCAGTCAACTGAGAATGGGAGGTGTTAGAATATTCAATACCATGCAGATGTGCTATAGTATAATTTTGTATTAACTAAGTACCAACAACCTTTCACATTTTTAGGATGCCATTCAAAATGCCACTTGAAATCCCAAGTAATCAAATGTTTTCAAGGCACCTAGCAGTCTCCAAGGATGGCTGCTCAGGAGAGCATTCATAGCCCTGTAATTCTTGAAAAATGGAAGGAGAAGTGTAAATCATGTACAGAAACCTATATGTTAATTTTATTCCTGTCCTAAAAATAAAATTCAAATCCTAATTTTAAAATTTTATTGTGCTCTAAATCTCATGTTTTCGACAATCAGTGAGTTTATAGCAAATTTATAGCAAATACTGTTTTTTCCCACTGCCAAAACACATGCATTATGCAAAAAAACAACCAATTACAATGAATAGGAATCACAGGAAGTTCATTATTAATAAGCTTATGTTTATCCATAGAGGTTCATTGAGAATTTCACAATTAGTTGTAACAATCTAAATGTATCTTTCCATGTCTGTCCATGACATGCTTGTGGTTTTGTCTGGCAACCTTGTTTGTTAATAAAATCAACACATTAATACAAAATTGTATACAAGATGTCAAATTCTTTTTGTTCCCTTCATGCCTTTATTTGTTAATTTTTCAGCTAACATAGTGTTCCAAAGTAATTATGCAGATCTCTTGTCAGTTATACAGATCTGTAGATGCTTTCCAATTCTTTGCCATTAGTTGATCAGGTGCCACCATAACATTCAGCATTTGTTTGCCTGGTAAACACGGGTTGTGGCACTAAGGGTAAATAATATACCAATTTAGGATCCATGTGTACATCCCATCCTATTATATCACTACATTTTTGAAAAACCACTCTCCAAAATGGTATGCATTGGTCTACATTCCTACCAGAAATTATGCCACAAACCTCCAGCTGCTAAGTAATGTGTTTTGCATATTTGATATAAAGCTGTTGAGTTATATACCACTTCAGTACTACCTTCAAGGCATTTCCTTGAAGTTTGGCTTACACCAAATCTTTCTATGTCATGTTTTCATATTTCTTTAATTTCTTATGGTTGTTCCCATTGATTCCATAATAAATATCCTGTATATGATGAATTTGAGACCTTTGGTTGGAGTTTCAGATACAAGCATCAGATTCTGGTTCCTGACTCCTAGCAGATCAGAGCAAGCTCTAGGGCTTCTGGGATACAAGCAGCCAAGCTCCCAGGGAGCAAGCAAACAGGAAGAGCAAACAAGTTTGGTGGAGAAGGGCCTGCTCTAGCCCAGCAAACAGTCTTTTGCTTTCTAAGAAGTCATGTGCTCTGGAAGAGACAACTGAAGGGAAGTTCTGATTAACTGAAGTGGAGTGGCCTGACCAGCTAGCAGCAGTAGTGTGGGTGATGTGGGAGTTCCTGACTCCTAGGAGACAAACCTAATTTCATTTTTTGAGCGGGTAACCTCCCAAATAGACTGTGAGAATGCTGTGGATATAATCAATAACTATGTTTTAGTTATTGTAGTTATTGTAAATCACTTTTAAATTTGGCTTTTAAATTTTATAGTGAATTTTTATATTCATCTGTATTTTATACTGCATTTTATTTGTATATGCTTTTGTAAACCATCCAAAGAGCTTCAGCTATCGAGTGATATAGAAATAAATTAATTATTTGCCCCGTATAGCCAGATAAAAAGGAAAAGTTTGATCGGGCTTGGCCAGTGATAAAATCATGCTTTATCTGGATTACACAAAAGAAGCTTCAGAACATAATAGGCAATTTATCAGGTGACAATTTTAGCAAAGTGAGAGGGGTTTGCTATATTGTATCTGTTGTCCAGTTTTGTTTCTTTGTTACAGTCTCCCAGTGTAGCAGAATACTTTTTAACCAGCATTAAAGTTGTGGTTCCTTTTAGCCAGTCTTCTGCTGCTTGCTAATCCTATGCAGTTCAAGTATAAAACTTCTGGACATTTGGCTCTATTATCTCATTCCAGTGTCTGCTTCTTCTTTTTAGCTTTCTTTTAAAATTGTTCTTTTAAAATCTTTATGTAGTTTTATATACCGTATTTTTCTGACTATAAGAAGCCCCAGTGTATAGGATGTCCCTGACTTATTTTTCTTTTTATGTATTTTTGTAATACCATTTGTATTTGGGGGTTGAAACTATTTGGGTTATTTGTTTTTTAGGATCTGTAAGATTCCCCTATTGATGTGCTCTGTCATTTAAATGTAGGTAATTTCTGTAAAATTGGTAAAATTCATTTCTGTAGAACAGGCAACGTGTGTTTAATGTTCTATTTCATAATATCCTTGAAAAGAATGCAACTTTCAATTAAGGAAGGTGGGCTTGGCTTTCCAGAACTTACTTTATATCATTGGGCCTATTTGAAGACCTGCATTAGATTTTGGTCTTCTGTACTTAGATTAGATTATCTTCTTTGCTTGTTTTAGAATTTTCTTGAGTGAATCCTTTTGCCAAATGATTGACATTAAAATGGGTACAGTTCTTCCCGCAGTTGTGGCTGCTAGAAATGTGTTACATGATATTAGTTATATGTTCATCCATTTTTCATGCAAAATTGACTCTGGTGAAATCCAGATTTTAAAATTGGTAAGAAAATGTGCTTGAATGCATGCACTGATATTTTTTAAATTTTTGATCAATTAGTGAGTGATTGTGGTGAGTTTTTGTCCTTTTAAATTTTGTGTGCCATGTATTAGTTGCCTGCTATGGCTGAATAGCAGTACTTGCAATTACAATATCTGTAAGCATGTAGATTTGTTTCTGCCCTTTTCATAACTGTAGATTCCCCTTTGCTATACAAAGTGCTTATAAGGGCTGATCAGATATATTGCCTATAATTCATTTTTATAGATACTTCTTATCAGTGAAGATATGTGATATACAGGAAATATAAAGAGGAAAGGAGTAGGGAACTGGGCTGTCCTGTTTTACTATTTTAGTGTGTATCTGAAGTGCCCATGTATCTTAGGATATATCTTTCACAAACATGCTTTTTCTATGTCACAGCATTTTTGTTAAATAACATTTTGTCTAAATTAGCTAACTACTGGAACTCTAAAACATCTAATGCTTCATTTAATCATATGTAGTGTCTTTTTAGAGAAAGGTTATAATATGGATGAACTTTATATGTATTTTTATTTATTTAAAGCTTTTATATACCATCCTTCACCAAAATTCCCAGGACAGTAGTACAATGAAATAAAAGTACAGCATCAGGCAACAAATTCAAATAAAACCCTATCTGAAAACACTAACATGTAAAAATTGGCAAAATAAAAAGGTTTTGGCCTGGCACCAAATTTTGAATTTGCAGTAGAACATTTAATATTTATCCAAGTATATGTCCACTTAAATGTTCTACTTGCTTCCTGGAAGCTAATACAAGATCAGTATATTATTATTATTATTATTATTATTATTATTACATTTCTATGCCGCCCCTTGCCGAAGCCTCGGGGCGGCTTACAACACAATAAGATACATTGAAATACAATAGAACATAATAAATTACCAAAAAAATACAAAAATACAAAAAATACACTGAGATACAATAATATAAAATTAAAATTAACAGTATAAAATAAATAAATAAATAAATAAATAAATAAATAAAGAAAGAAAGAAAGAAAGAAAGAAAGAAAGAAAGAAAGAAAGAAAGAATATAGGAGGAGGAAAGAGAAGGGAGAAGAAGTTGCCCTGGCCAGATCATATATTTTAACAATTAAAATGATGCTTAAATCAAAAGGTCTTTACCTGGCGCCGAAAAACCAGTAACGACGGTGCCAGGCGGACCTCTTTGGAGAGTGCATTCCATAGGTTGGGCGCCACCGCAGAGATTAACAGCTGAGGGCTTCCAGAGGCTGATTAGCATCCCAGTAAGAGGAGTAATGAAACACTCTCTACCTTCTCTCTGCATCTTAGCTAGATGGCTGTTTGCAGTTATCTGAGGTGCTTTTGAGGAGTGAACAAGGTTGGAGCATAGTCAGGATACCTCATATCTTGGCATCCCAGTCTCCTCTCCCTACCCCCTTTACTCCCTCTCTGAAGTTGTGTTCCTAACCTTGGAGAGACAACCTACACAGTTCTTTTTCCACTAGTTGGAAGTGGTAAAGAAAAATCAAAACATGGATTCCCAGCTCTGAGGTCAGATCTCTTTCTGTGATCTCCGATCTGGGTATCTGAATTATCCTGTGGCCTCCCAGACAAGTGTTTACAGGCCATGGGATCCCTCTCTAAAGAACTGATACTACGACAGTAGAAGGATAAATGTTCATGTTGTTCAAATGCTCATGCAATGGACCTAAGAATATTTCCAGTATTTCAACCCATGGTACATAGTTGCCACTGGTCTGCCTTTGTTGAAGTTCCTGTATAATATTTTAGAAAGCTGTGTATTCATTTATATGCCAATACATATGCAAAATATATGTATTTACATGTATCAATAGGAATTAATTTATTCAAATATATGCAGTTATATTTGTTGCATGTGCTTTCTTTTTCTTTTCTTTTTTACAATTTCATTTCCTTGAAATTTGCAGTAAATATTTTAAAAATAAAGTAGTAAATAATTGTTCCTTATTTGAAGAAAGATCCTATCACTTCTATAGTAAATTATTGTAGCATTCTTAAATGCCTTTACTTGCAGCAATAGGTTTCTGGAGAATACTGCCTTATATATATTTCCGTTTTAGTACTATAATTCATTAGCTGTTTTAGTAGATGAGCATCCCAAAGATTATTTGTTTAGTTGCTAAGTCATGACCCCATGGATAACATTCTTCCAGGTTCTCCTGTCCTCCACCATACCCTGGAGTCCAGCTAAGTTCACACCGACTGCTTCACTGACTCCATCCAGCCACCTCATCCTCTGCCGTCCCCTTCTTCTTTTGCTGTCAATTGTTCCCAGCATTAGGGTCTTCTCCAGTGAGTCTTTTCTTACTAGGTGGCCAAAGTATTTGAGTTTCATCTTTAGTATCTGACTTTCTAAAGTACAGTCAGCAGGGCTTTTTTTGTCATAGAACGCACCGGAACAGTGTTCCGGCACCTTTTTTTGATGGATTTTTCCAAGTGATTGTGAATTGCCCCGTTGGGCATAGCAGATCAGTGGCAAAAAGCATTAACATAGTGCCTGCGGGCTGATTGTGTGTCGGCGCTGATTGTCAGCACTGATTGTGAGGGCGCTGCTGGGCTTGTGATCGGTCATGTGGTCGCGCGCTGAGTGCTTACTGCCGGTGGCGACCATTGTGTAAAAGTGTGACCCCAAGATGTGAGTTCCGGCACCTTTTTTTTTTTTTTTTTTTACAAAAACACTGACAGGTTTTATTTCCTTTAAGATTGTCTGATTTGATTTCTTTGCAGTCCAAGGGACTCGCAGGAGTCTTCTCCAGCACCACAATTCATAGTTGTCAATTCTTTGGCACTCAGTTTTCCTTATGGTCCATCTCTCACAGCCATACATTACAACTGGAAAAACCTCTTTAAGAACTTGCCACAGTTTGTAGTGATCCACACAATCAAAGGCTTTAGCATAGTTAAAGAAGCAGATGTTTTTCTGGAAATCCCTTGGTTTTTCCTTGATCCAGTGTATGGTGGCAATTTGACCTCTAGTTCCTCTGCCTCTTTGAAACTCTGCCTGTACTTCTGATAGTTCTCAGTCCACATACTGCAAGGGCTTAATACTATCTTAAGAACTTCTGTCCTATGATCTGGAATACTTCAGAATGGTAACATATGACTCCGAGTTGTGAATCATTTGTCGGTCGTGGTTTCAACTGTTGTAGGTTATTTCTTGTGATATAGAAGCAAATACACTCCTTAGCTGCAACTGTGGTTGATGTTGATGATACTAACATAGTAAAACATGAGGGCATTCTGAGAGCTTTATGAACATTCTTCACACATATGTACATCATTGAGCGCAAGAGGAGAATTATGTAATCTGCTTTGAGTGCTTTGTAAGGAAAAAGTGGGATATAACTCTAGTAAATAATTAAGTTTGGAACCAATTGCAATATTACATCATTGGCATTACAGCTACTGTGGTGTGCTTTTTCCACTTACCTCTTCAGTAATGATTAATTGAATGATTAATGACATTCTATCCCACTCAATAGTCCAAGCTCTCTGGGTGGTTCATAAAACAAACTGAAGGTCAAAAACCAGCTGTGGAAGGAGGGCTTACTCACGGTCTGGCAGCTGAATAAAGCAAATGCTACTTTGTAAGAGGGATACCTCACCACTTGGCCAGAGGAAAACTGAAAACATTCACGCATCTGTAAAGGGGAATTGATTGGATCTCTGCCAGATTCTTCTAGTGCAGCACTTCAAAATGAATCCATATTTGCCAGCTGTCATACCACTGAAAGCTGCTACTGTGTGACCTCTGCTCTTAAGTTACACATCATCCCAGTCCTAGCACCTCATTCAACAGTCAAGGCCTCTTCACTCTTTCCACCATCCTCACACAGTTCTTGCTATTCCTTAAACATTTATGCAATGAAGTGCATAAGGAACCACATACATTGTCAAAGTGTTTAGTGGCTAGTGAAACTTGGGTTTCACCTTTTGACTGTTGGGCACCCAGGATTGTATACTGGATTAGCAACAAGAGATTGGGTGTTTGAAGGAATGCTTCCCAGATATCTCAGAGCCTCGTTAGGTACTGCACAGTCTCAGGCACCATTTGGAAAGAGATACTCTGTCTCTGTACTGCAAGCATTTTTAAAATCCTCTTACACTCAAGTATACCAAATGCTCTCAATGCAGGATGCTAGAATCAAGTTTATGATCAACCCCTATACATTCTTATGATCATGTATGTTGAAGGAGCTTCTTTAGCCACTGATTCTAGAACCAGAAACATTTCAGCTCTCAGTTGCTTGAAGGTAGTAGACAACTTTGTATGTACATTAACAAGGCAGAAAATAAAGCTCAATATCACAACAGATTACAATAGAACAATCAAAAAGCAGTACTTAAAATATTGCATCAACAAAAAAGTGTAGTAACACAGTCCCTTGCTGATTAGGGAAAGCCTCTGCAAGGTGTGTTTTCAAAATACATTTTAAATTCTTCATCATTTCTAATAATATGGCCACAATCCAAAGAGTGCACAGGTAAATGCAGTAAATAATGCTAGCGGTTTCTTTTGACCTTAAAAGGAACTTTTCTCATGGACAATATGAGCTTGTATGATGTACATGTATTAACATGCCCCTTCTTTGGTAAGGCCAGGAGTGGCCAAACCGAGGCCCGGGAGCCATATGCAGCTCTTTGAGTTTATTTTGTGGCTTGTGGCCCACTGCCTGCAGGCGTCCACTCGCAGCTCTCAAACATCTGACTTTTTCCCATATGCAGCTCTCAAACATCTGACTTGTTCCCGTATTCCATTGAGCAAGTCTGGCTGCCCTGGTAGAACCCATAAAAAGTCACAGTCTTTAAGCTGGGATAGAAGGTACAACTTCTTGAAGGAGCCTTCAGTGGCAACAGTTTGCTCTTTGTTCTAATGTTTGCAAAAATTGAATGGCAGTAGCAATGAAACTTTTGTTGTTAAGAGGGAGAAGCCATGGAAAAGTATAGTTCAATCTTTATCGGTTAGCACTAAAAGATGACAGCCCTTTGGGAAATTGGCCTGAATATCAAATATTCACAAGTTTAACAAACATTAGGACATGTGGGAAAGCTAAAATAGGGGGGAAACTTGCTTTATTTAGACTTTTATTATTGTAAATAATAAGAGTGTTTTTTTTAAGGTTGGAATGTTGTATAACCTAACTTGAGAGTAAGTCCCATTGAACTCAATTTTTGAGTGTGCATGTATAGGATTGTACTATAAGAATATATTTATGTGACCACTTCAGAACTGTTTTAAAGGTAACTCTACCATTAGATTTACCATATGCTACTATGTTTTGACCTATGTAATGTTGTTATTTCCAAACAGTCTATGATGAAGGTTTCCCTTTAATCCACAGAAGAAGAAAAATGTTTTCAATGATGGAAACCAATTTATATAAAATACTGTTTGGAGGGGATATAATACATAAAGCAGATTTCTCTGCTTAAGTTGAAGCAGTTTCTGCATCACATTTTGAAAATCTATGCCTCAAAAATCTCAGACTAAAGATAAAGGTTCAAATACTTTTATGAAGAGTTATTGTAGGACTGGGATCTGGGAGATTTAGGCTGTAGTCACCACTTGGCCACAAAGGTCACCGGGTGATTTTGAGCCAATCATTAACTCTCAGCTTAATATAACTCACAGGGTGTTGTGAGGATAAGATTGAGAGGAAGAGGTGGGTTATATAAGCGGGCCTTGCGTTCCTTGAAGGAAAAAGCTGAGTATCAATATAATACGCATATTTGCAAAGTCTTGCATCTAATTTTACTCCTTTTACTAAGATTAACTCTGAATGGATTTGGTTTCTAGACATGGAAAAATGTTCTATGCGTGATATCAAACAAAATGTCAAAGAACTTTTGCATGAACGAATAAAGGAACCTGGTAGGAAACTACAGATTACTGGGAGAATCAAAAAGGTGAGTGCATCTAAGAAAATATCAAGACCTGATCCAGTGAGAATTGGGCATAAAGGAATTAGGCATTACTTCTTTTTTTTCCAAGTTCAGCAATAGGTAACATTAACAACCAAAATAGCAGTGCCTGCACCCAAGCAGCAGGCTTGGATAAACACCAAGGTTTATAAAAGTACAAAAACTTTTAGGGAAAAAGATGCTCAGGTCCCCCCTGGCAACCCCTCTACAATTCAAAAACCTGTGCTCAGTAGGTGCAGAGTACTGTCTGTTGAGGGCAGAATGAAACCAGCTATGGAAGGGCACAGGCCTAGCTGACTGGAACCCTAAACGGGAGCATTGCACTCTGCAATATTTGTCACAGGTCACCCTTGAAATACAAGTTAATGTTATAATATTTAATTACAAACTGTTCTTTGACTTTTAAAACAAGCTTTTGATGTGGCTACTAATTTTTGTGGAACTTGTTGATAAGGGTGGCTAGAGCTACGGTCAGCAACTCATTTTTAGCAGCGATATTTTCAACTGAGCAACAACTAAAGTGATGTAGGTAAGACCGCTTATCCCCTCATCAGATCACATACACACAGAAACATAGGAAAGGGTCCTTTAAAGCTTTCTCTCAACCTCTGCAAATAGCAGCTTCTTGTATTATATTAGTTAATGTTTGACTGTTTGTGGAAATAGAAATTCCATGGTTGTTGATTTGCTGTCTTTGTTCTTTCCTTGAATATTTAGCCAATGAGAACATTAGTCATGACAAGCTTGACCTCTGAGTAAGTACTAGGTATTTTGATATGTCTCCTGACTATATTAATCTTGGAAGTTGAACATGCATAGTCTGAACCATCACATTACATTCTGAATAACATTAATTTGGAGGGCATAAATGAAATAGATTGCAGTGCAGGCCTATGTAACCTAAATGTTAACATTTGATTGATTAGATTAAGAATAATCATTTAATTCATTAAGCTATAGAAATAGTTACTAAAATTAAAGATCATATTTGTAGTGTGCTGTGATCAGAAAGATGACATAGAGGCTTAGAGTATGCACATTTTAGCTCTAAAAACACTGTGATGTTAATTTCAAATGTGAAAAACACCAATTATTTCATGTAAAATCTAAACTGTAGTATTTTCTTAGGAATTTGAGCAAATTTTCCTTTTTTCTGCAGCCTCCCTCCCGCAATCTTCTTCAGAGGGTTGGGGAATATTTTGCAAAAGCATGGGTGATGGAAGGGCTGCAATGGGGAGGAGGATATTTTGAAAAATTGTGTCCCTCCCTGTTCTGCTAATAGAAGCCACTGCTGGATCAAGAAGAATTCTACCAATGGGATGATGCCACTTAGATACAGCATATTAGTAGGATTAAGAAACATGTACCAGTCAAGAAACTCAATTGACAGTGCAATCATATACATGTGTATTTAGAAATTAGTCCCATTGACTTGAGTGTGTACTTAATCCCTTCACATAGTCCTTTGCTGCCAAAGAAAATACTAGGTTACCAATATTGATCTAATTCAGATTGTCCCTTCTTTGGCGTAGATAACCCCATGAAATAAACCCCGACCCTTTCTTTTACTTTATAACAATCTGCACCTTGTAATTAAAGATCCGTGATTTCCTGAAGATTCTGCTCAGATAAACTGATATGGTCTTCTCTTCACCTTTCCTCAAAGGAAGCAGAATTTAGTTGTTCAAGTGGTAAAGAAGTTGGGAGGCTTTCTATTTTCAGATGAAGTATGTGAAAGCACAAGCCATGTAGTTGCAGGAGCCCCCCGGCGTACCCTGAACGTCCTGATGGGAATGGCACGAGGCTGCTGGATTGTCTGTTATGAATGGGTAAGTAATACAGATGGACTGGACACAGTTGCTTTTTTCATTAAGTAGGGTCTCTCATTTAATACTTCCAATTTAGTTGAAAATGAACAAATGATCTGCTTTATATAAAATATTTAAGGCTTGTTTATGATCAGAATAGCTCAAGGTTGTCCACTACTAATGAACATGCAAGGCTAATGAACATTAAGCAATGCTATGGTCAGATATCTCTTTGTAACTGGATGGAATGCATATTCATAATCAGCAGTTTCATCGGTATCCTGTCTTTACTTGGTAAACTCATGCTCAGAGTAGTTTATGATGTTAAAATTTTAGACAACTTAATATAATGTGGGTAATTAATTAAGTTTCAAATATAAACAAGGTTAAGATTATCAGAGGTATGAAATATCACAATTAATATATGCTAGCATTAAACAATCTGATAACGATCTGATAAGAGTTGAACAAAGGGAAAATAAATCTAAACAACCAAAGCAAAAAATCCAGCCATAGGATAGTCTTTGAAGTCCATCTCTCAAAACTTTGCCCACCTAGACTTGGTTGAATGAGGCTAAGAAGCAGGGGCCAGGTCTCACAAGATTCATAGTTAGATAGTCTCTAGGCACCTTCAGCAGCTGACTTTATAGCAGTCTTTACAGTCCCAAGCATGTGGGCTGAGGCACAGAAGAAGGGACTTGGTCTTACAAGAGCTAGATGGTCTCTTGGCATCTTCAGAAGCCTTTGTTGCTGTACTATAACCAGTCAGGTCCCTGTTCTCCCAGGCTGGGTGGAATGGTGCAGAGACCAGGTCTACCAAGGCTCACAAGTAGGTGGTTTCTGGGCACTTCATGTAAACAGTTGAATGGATTGTAAGAGTTTTGGAAATTTATGAAATGATTGGATCTACATAGAAAAGGGTAAAGGGCAGGTGCTAGAAGCAAGAATTTTTCTGAACAGTATACATATATGCGTAGGTAGACCTTGCTTGCAGTTTCATTAGGAATATGTGCATATTCAGCATTCTCCAATCTGTTGCTCTCTAGGTGTGCAGGACTTCCAGCATACCCTAGCCCAGTGGTGGCGACCTATGGCATGCGTGCCACAGCGGGCACGCAGAGCCCTCTCTGTCAGCGCACAAGCCAAGTCGCCCCAGCATCGCCCCAGCAGCCGAGCTTCGGATAACAGCGCACATAGGGGCCATGCGCATGCTCAGAGAGGAGTAGCGGTGCCAGGTGATGACATCACAAGCCGTGACACATTAGCCGCAACTCATCTGAGCTTTCTCATGGCTGGTCAATACACTGCCAAGTATATATATGTATTTGCTTGGACTGGCCGTTTTCAGGTTTTATTGCAGTGCCGGCACTTTGCGATAAATAAGTGCATTTTGGGTTGCAGTTTGGGCACTTGGTCTCTAAAAGGTTCACCATCACTGGGTTAGGGTTAGAAAGACAAGGTGTCCTGGTATGATTTTGTTGGTTGGAATGTGTTTAGAATGGGCAGAAATGAGGAGCTGTGCAGAAAAAGCTACTCAAGGAAGGCTTTTTCAAAACCACCCTCTTTTTAATGGAACGTTAGCCCTATATTAGGGCTAGGGGTGTGCACCAGGGCAGGGTTAGGGTCAGAAAAATGAGGAATCCTGGCATGATTTTGATGGTTGGGGTATGTTTAGAAGGGGCAGAAAAGATGAGCTGTGCAGAAAAAGCTACTCAAGGAAGGCTTTTTCAAAATCATCCTTTTCAATGGTATTTTACCCCTATATTAGGGTTAGGGGAGTGCACCAGGATAGGGTTAGACCAGTGGTAGCAAACCCATGGCGTGCATGCCACAGCGGGCAGACAGAGCTCTCTCTGTCGGCACGCGAGCCAAGTCGCCCCAGCATCGCCCCAGCAGCCGAGCATCGGATAACAGCCCACACAGGGGCCATGCGCATGCTCAGAAAGGAGTAGTGGTGCCAGGTGATAACGTCACATGCTGTGATTCATTAGCCACGACTTATCCGAGCTTTCGCATGGCTGGTCAGTGCACCGTCAAGGATATATATATATTTGCTTGGACTGGCTGTGAGTTGTTCTAAACTAAAACCTCAGTTTTCAGGTTTTATTGTAGGGTTGACATTTTGCAATAAATAAGTGGATTTTGGGTTGCAGTTTGGGCACTCGGTCTCTAAAAGGTTCATCATCACTGCCCTAGCCAATGCATCCAGTGTACACATAGTTTTGTCTTTAAGTGGTGGTGATATCCTTGCAAAAATTGACACATCTAAAGGGTTGCTAGGGTTTGGATGAGTTAATGTGACAGAAATGAAAGATCAGATTGCAATAATTGCAAACAATTCAATGAAGAGTACTGAGGAATCCATGGGTTGCTACTCAGTTTTTACCTCTACCCTTGTTTTCTGCAAGGGTGACAGATCTATTAACATGGTCTGACACTAGAGGCTAATAGATCCAGATTATTTCTTGATGGCCCCTGAGGGATTTTCAGGCTGATGCAGTTGCTGGTTCTGTTGAATTCTTGGCTGATCCATGGAATACAGAGGGGACCCAGATGCTTGATGAGATCGTTCTTGAGCACCTGCTTTGTAACAGAGATTGTGTGGCTCCATGGCATTGCACAGAGCTGAGAGATATAAAACAATACAGGGAATGGCTTGAGCACAGATGAAGAAAAATTCTTAGGGGTGCAGTCAAGCCCCAGTAAGCACTTATAATCAGCTATATTGAGGGCCAGTGAGGGCAGCAAAGAAATAATTTCTCAATCCAGTCTTCTATTTGTCACTCTGCAGAGTTCTTTAGGGCCTATTACATGCTGGCCTCAAGGACATCAGAGGCACACTGGAGTATATTTACTAGGCACTTCTAGAATAAAATCTCCTGTATCCACCATAACTGAACCCTCCAATTTTTCAGCAGCTGAATCTGGTAAGGTTCCCAAAGCACAGCCTGGCCAGTCATCTTGGAAAAGATTCTGTTGGTTATGCTTGAGGATATGGACCAGCCACTTCGACAGGTTCATGCAACCATTTCTGCACTGGATCCTTGGCTGTTTTGGCTTACAAAAGCGAACAGCTGTCTGGGCCAGAGGGGTGACCAATGCCTCTTTACAAGAGAGAGTGGTCCCATGCTGCCTTAAAGAAATCTTTTGTGGACCCAGAAGACTCAAATAGGATAGTGGAAATTGTTCCCTCTCTGGGTAATGTACTTCAGCAGGTGGTAGTCAACCTGCTCCAGCTATTCCTAGATGAGACTGATCTGGGCCCATTTGGGGTTCAGGCCGGGTTTTGGTACAATGTCCTTTATCCCTCAGGAGTGGCATTACTGGAAACATAAGGAGAAGAAGACAGTGAGAAGGCCTGTTGCAGAAATAACATTCTGTTTGCTGCTTTCTGAGTCCAACCAGTGCAGCTAGGATGTATTCATTTAGATGTTTAACTCAATGTATAGGATTTGGATACAACAGCAATACTTCAGGTTTTGGGGACCTTTGGGCAAGACACCCACTATGAGCCCCCTTCCTCAGCAAGCCTACTTTCTCTCCACCATCCTTGCCAGCTGCTCTTACTCATCATCCTTTTTCCCATCATTGCCACCACTTGCTTGCTTGACAGGCACAGCTAGCCAGCCAGTAAACTGGATCTGCTGTTCCTTCTCACCACTACAATTGCCTGAGCCAGAGTGAGAAGCAGGTGAACAAGTAGGTTGCAGTGGGGAAGAAGAGGTGCAGTCCGTTCCCCCCCCCCCCACTGTGAGGTCTCAGCAGATGCCTGATCATTATTACTGGACCTGGCTGCAAGCATAAAATCAGTTCTAGAAATATGGAAGCCTTTCAATATTATTAGTAGTAAAATGTGATAAAAGACACTAACAGCACAGGCATTTATGAATGATAAAGTAGTACTCAGACTGTACATATTGACTTTTAAGAGAAATAAAAGCAGAACCCTGAAATGTTCCCATCGCAAGATTGGGAAGGAATCAAGTACAGCTGCAGAAACAGGAAGGTTTGTAATGCCAGAGGATTTGTGAGACAGATGTTATTTTCTGTAATCATATTCAAAGAAATGAACTCTGGCCAGATGCTCCTGACCTGACAGCTGAGACGACCGATGGAGTATTGCATTGCCTATACTTGTATATTATTTACTACTTAAATTCACTACTTAATACCAATAGGTTCTTGAAGCCACAGCTTGTCTGCAACAATTTTTTGAGGATTTAAACCATATTGTTTCTTATGTTTAAACTTCTACAATGCTACATTAGTGATTGGACTAATGGATTGGATAGGGATGGGGACAAGTGGCAGATGCCAGAGACTGAGAGGTATAGCCTGGCGTGAAAACTGGGCTCCACTCACAATAATCATATCAAGTATAAAATAAAATCCAACAGAGAAGCGTTGGGAATAGCTTCACCTATTTTATAGTGATTGGCTCTAGAGGGGGTAGAAGTTGGATGCAGGCAGGGTTGTTTTTTTACTAATTTTGTTCAGCCCTGCTCAGGTTGCTAGAAATTTCTTTTTTCCTTATATATTAGAAGTAAGGAACATCTATGCCTCAATGAGCAGGATTTTACGTGAGCACTATGAGTAACTTTCCCAGCCATTAATGCTTCTAGACAACTAACTCTTGTCAGAATTAGTGGGAAAGATCATTCTGAGTCTAGTGCCATTCAGCAAGTTGCTTGATATTGTTAATGATATATTTGCTAGAAAATAGTTTTTTAGTGGTTTTATTGGTGAAAACTATGAAAGAGCAGAGTCATTTTTAATAGGGACTAGTAGAGGAAATGACACATTTAAGCAGGTTACTGTAGAGGATGTCATATTGTTCCTGTGGAAAAAGTCATTGAACAGTTTTAAACTGCACTTGTTTTGATCTTTTGTTAAAAAAAATCCTTTGTAATAGTCCTTCCGGGAATGGGCATGTTAAATCATTGTTATGAACATCCCAGCTGCTGACCACTGATCTAAGGATGAATGGCTTTATTTTTGCTGCTTCTCTTTTTATTTCACCTACTTCCAAATCTGCGAAGCTTTGAGAAGTCAAGAGTAGTACAATTGTAGTTTGCTACTAGTACTACAACACACACTGTCCTGAAGGATTCCCAGTGTAATTTAAGGCATAGGTTTTTTTTCAAAGGGCTACACTGGGTAAACAGAATTTCACTCACGGTTCATTCTGTACTGATTCATGCCAGTTTTTTAGTTTTATTTCTGTCTCATAAAACTAGCACAGCCAGTGAAGTATATTAGCATGCACCTACTTCAGCAATTTTGAGAACAAATATTCTTCAGGTTTCAGTGCATCTAAACCAGGTTTCTAAATAAGTCTGGTTTCTGTACTCAACACGGTTATTCTCTTGCATGGCCACTTGGACAAGAAAAAAGCAATTACTTCTTGTGAAAATGGAGTTTGGCTTGTTTCTTGAACAGTCCTTCTCAGTGCAGCATAAGAAACTTGCTTCTGTAACAGAAAATACCTTGTGGAGAGAAAGTGCTGAAGTACAGCATTGCTGTTTGTGGTTTGAAACAAAAAAGCCCTAAATCCCACATGCCTTTTGTCATGCCTGCAATACCATTTTGCAGCCCAACTACAGACTATAACCTGGATGGCCTGAAAGTAAATTGCCAGATGTTTTGGACTCAGAGCATTCCTGATCATTGGTCATGCAGGCAGGGGCTTACTGCCCACCCCCAGTCTACAGATTGGAAAGCCTCATTCAGTCTTTCATTACTAGTTACTGTTCTCAAGTTTTCAGCTTTTGTCTTCATTTTCTGATGCAGTAATATGTCACTTCTGGGATATGTTTTAAGTATGCTAAAATAGAGTTTGTCCTATGTTTGCTTTACTTTGGCATGTCTAAATCAGAGCTTTTGAGAATCTATAGTGGAGAGGAAGTAGATCCCAAATACTGAACTACCTGTTCAACTTCTGCTTTATTTTGCTGATGTATTTAAAGACACTGCCGCACTGCTATGGAATTTAGGTATTACATATCTTCTCCAATCTGTAGGTATTGTGGTCTCTAGAATATGGCCAATGGATTTCTGAAGAACCATATGAACTCTCAGTGGATTTCCCTGCAGCTCCTGTAAGTAAAACACACTTTGCTTTTTAACTTATTCTGCCTTATTTTGTGATAAAGAGTGATGATAATACTGATTTGTTTGCACTATATCAGATTAAATGTTAATAAGTAGTATTTTTCTTCATTTTGACCTGGGTGAATGTCTATTGGTAAACATTATTACAGACTTAATGTTAAACATTAATTAATACAGACTTCCAAACTTCTACACAATAGCTAAATCTTAGCTAGAGAAGGCAGGAGTTTGTTTTCCAAATCTATCCAAAATACTGAAATTTTTTAATTAGCAAGTATTATTTTAACATAGAAGAAATAGGAATGAATAGTGCAATTTTCTTACAAATTATATTGTAATTATTACAAATTATATTGTAATAATACAACTCTATAAGCTTCAGGGATATTTTGATTTTTAAAATACTGATACAAATACCTGACATTTTAAGAAAAAGAAATAGTAGTTTACTATTATACACTTAGTACTGAACTTTTAAAAGAGGTGAAGCACAGAACTATTTTTACAAAACCTTATTAAATATACTAGCATGTGCTACCAAACTTCCCTGAATGAGTTATTACTAATGGTAAGAATTTGAGTACAAGAATTAATTACAAAATAACATTATGTACATAATTACAAACATGGCATGTTATAGGAATACAATATAGTTTACAAAGGGGTGATTTTGTTTTAAGGTAGCCATTAGAGTTCAGTAATAAGGCATAAAATATTGGTTCCGAAGCTTTAGTAATTTTATGAAGTATTTCACAGTTCCAGTTACGTGCACACATTATAAATGTTCAAGGCAACAGTCTTTAAATTCTTTCTGAGTTTCTCTTTTGGCAAATCATTGTTGCAACTGATATCTCTTCTTGCTAGAGGTTTAGCTGTGATGAAGTTTAGTAGCAGTTGAAATCATGACTCAAAGCAAGTTGATTCCTGCAAGATCCATATTTAATTTATATCCCACCTTTCTTCCAACAAAGGTGCACATGCAGGCAGGAAAACCAGTCCAGCTGTATCTTTGGTTTTAAATACTTATCAAATGAAGCGTCTTAAAAATTATTTCAATATGCCCTTTAATGCAGAGTGCAAAAGCTTTTAGAAATCTGCTGGTCTGATCATCATAGTTGTGGCCTTGAGAGAATACCCCGATCCTTTCCAGTAGTACCACTTAATCCCTTTAAATTTGTTTGTATTCTGTCGCAATGGATAGTAGAGGCCATTCAGATTGGAAGGACCACATGCATCAAACCACCAACCTGTTTAAAAGAAGAAGAAAGGCAGAAAGAGGAATTGTTGCATTTTTTTTTTCAAGTTGCAAATCCTTAACTATTAAGCAACTATTATACAAGATGCTTAGTTATTTATGCTGCATAATTTGGTGAAGATTGGCAAAAATCTATGGAGACTGGCAGGGCTAGTGGGCGCTGGGATGATGAATTCAACACACTGGGATGTTCAAAAGTCCCTAAAGTATACTATGCTTTTAGTTACTTCGCACCCAGAATGCAAAGTTGAATTGATCCCCATATAAGGCCCACATCCAGAGAAGGAGGCAAATTTGCTGCAATCACTGGGTCAGGTTAGTTGTGACTAATTTATTTTTTCTGGGTACAGTACATTTAAGATCCCTGTAAATCTCCAAACTCAGAGGATTATGGGCATCCTATAAAGCAGGGGTCTCAAACTCGCGGCCCGCGGGCCAATTGCCGGGACAGGCGGGGCACGGGGGAGGGGCCCTGCGGCCTTCAAAGCGCCGGCAGCACCTGGGCCGGCCTCCGGGAGCGACGCGGGATGAGTGGCCCACCACCACCACTTGATGTGGCCCAGCCTCACCCAGACTCCACTTCCAGCGGCCCCAGGTAAGCTGAGTTTGAGACCCCTGCTATAAAGGATGGAAGAGGTACGAAAGGCAACTTCCACCTCTCTGTTCCTCCTGCCCTTTAAGTCAGTTATAACAAATTTCAGCTGTCTTTGTGAATACCCTGGACTAACAGAAAAGTGAACAAGTAAATTCTAGATCAAATCAAGTCACACTTTCCCTAGAAGCAACAATGACAAAACTGAACCTGTTATGCTGTGGGCACATCATGAGAAAGCAAGACTTACCAGATAATCCAATCATGCTAGGAAAAATCAAAGGCAGAAGAAAAAGAAGACAAACTATGAGATGGATTGACTCCATAAAAGAAGCCACAGCTTCAAATTTACAAGAGTTGAGCAGGACTATCATGATAGGACATTTTGGAGGGTGTTCGTTCATAGGGTCTCACCATAAGTTGACATCACATAATAACAATAAAACAACAACATTAAGTTGAGGTGCTTCAGAAGAAGAGGCAAGGAGCCTGGAGCACCATCAAGATATATTGTATTCTGATTGCCTCGTTCTTTTCTCTGCTGCCCACCAATGAGTATACTTTTATTACCTCAGAAAAATAAACAGTTTTTCTAATGTTGTCTGCAAGGTTTGGGAGGGGGATCTGAGCCATCAAAAAATGCTTTGGCCAGCTAGGGGCTGTAGGATCACTTTCTTTGTTATTTTAAGTTATATAGTATATAAGGCAACAAAATAAAATAGTGCATCTAAAGTTTTAAAATCTGGGGAAATTCACGAGGTACTGGAAAGAGTTATAAGGAGACACCATCTGAGCCTGTCTGGGGAAAGAGTACCAAAGTTGTGACATCACTGAAAAGGTTACTTCCTGAAGTGGGTGATGGTATGCAATGTGTCCTATAGATTAGTCTGAAGTACCTTTGAGTTAGACCTATATAGTGGTGTTTTGTTCCTGCCAAGGATGCTGAAGTTCGTTATTTATGTATTATTATTTATGATTTGTTTTCTAACCTCCCCTATTAGCCACATGGCTTCCTGGGCAGGTTCCAAGTTGTAACTTGGGCAAGTTACAAGTTAACTTTCCATCACCATGGATGGAGTAGTACATTGTACTTCTGGTCTATTAGGTGAATGGGTATCTGCAGAACTCTCTTTGGAAGCTTTCTCACTGTCTTCCAAGTTCCAGAGTTTGATTGCCCTTCTTCTCTATCAATGACACAGAAAGTCATTGGTTGAGACAATGCAATTGTATAAATCCATTTATTTGTGTTTTCTTCACTGGGCAACCTGGCGTAGCAAGAAAGCTGTTAAGCTTGCACACTGTCCATGCTGATAGGGAATGGCAGTAATTCAGTCTGTTATCATTTCTGGGACAGTGCACTTCATAGGTCTTAGATATATCTGAAAATGATGGATTAAAAATCAGCCGCTATACTGAAGCATGTTACTTCTCTTTAGTCAACACAGTTCTTTCCACTTGTTGCTATTATCCATAATAGCCCTTTCTGTAGAGCTCACAAAGTTCCTGGGATAAAAACATGAGAAAAGCTGTGCTGGATTAGACAGAAAGCCAAAGTAATCCAACATCCTGTTTTCCACAATGACCAACCAAATGCCTGTGAAAAGCCCACAAGCCCTCTTCTTTTGTCGTTCCTCAGCAACTGGTACTCAGAGGCACGCTGGAGGTAGCATTTAGCGGACCCTTCTCTCACTCATTAGCAGAATGTTCAGATAGATGCATCTGACTGTAAGGAGGAGGAGGAGGCAGTACAAGGGAGGGGGTGATGACTTCAAAGTTTCAAGGCTACCTAGTGAAGTTTCTCAGGCAGAGAATGTGAATTGGTCTGCTTTGGAAAGGCTGGAAAGGGTTTTGGGAAGGGATGGGGAGCAGATGGGAAACCGAGTCCTTGACCAAGTAAGGAGGCAATGGGAGAAATGATCTGCTCAGTTAGAGGGTCTCCGGCATTCCCATTGTCTTGTCCTCCAGCAGCAAGAGCCACCCTGAAGGTGAGAAAGAAGCTTTACTGAAGGAGGAGAATGGAGGAGAAGATTCCAGGTTGGCGTCAACTCTTTACATGAGTAGATGCTGCCCCTGAGTTATTTAAAGTTCATACTATTTTGTAATCTGTTAAGTTTCAATAAAAGAATTGCACTTCAAGGGATTGTCTTGAATTTGATAACTAGAAGGAAAGATGGAAGAGATCAGCTCATGACAGGCAACATGACTGATATCCATACTATTTGATTGTATGTGTGTACCTTCTTTACTAGAAATTCTGAACAGAATATGTGGGCAAAATGCACTCTACAATTTCCTTAGTTTTAGCTGATTATGTTATCAATCTTTCTTATTTTTCCGTTGCAGTTCATTTAGTTCAATGCTAGGGAAGGTGTGTTGAATTGCAACTAACATTTCTTACTATAGCCTATTCTGGCTTGGGCTACTGGGAGTGGCACTCTCTCAACAACTGCAGGGCCGGCAACACATTCCTTATCCCTGATCTGGATGTTGGTGTTTAATGATACTGAAATCCTGTATTACTGTGGATAGCTTTCAAAGGGTTACCTTAAAACAGATAACTGAACTCTGTGTGAAGCAAGGCCCAAAGAAGAAGGATGGCAATTTCAGTCCGTTTCCCTATTCACTGCACCTCAAAAACATCTGCTCTGGAGATTTGGGTGACCTCCAGGGCAGGCTTTTATGCAGCTTAAGTAGCTGCAGGGAAGGAGGGAGAAAGTAGGCTCCTGGCTTCCATCAGTGGGTTCCCTCTGGTACCGTAAATGTGCTTTATGGGCAAAAGAAGCTCTTCCATATGTGGCACGTGAAGTCTGGATGTTTATCAGCGGTAAACACCGGGCTTCCCACTGGGCTTGTATACTTGCTTCACCTTGTGTGGCCCTGAGGAGGCATTTGGGAGTTTTTCTTTCCAATGTTGATTGACCTCAGCTTGCCATATTGTCTCAGCTTTGAAAACTGATTAATGTTAGCTACGGTTAGTGAAATTAGTCAACTTTAAAACATAGTTTATGAAGTTGGCTTGTTTTCACTAATCATAGTTAAGATTAATTACCTGCTGAACTGTGGTTTATCTAAAATAGAAATGAAAGCTTCCAATCTCCTCATTATGACAGCACCCACATATGTATGCAATCCCAGGAGAGGTAGGCTCGTTCTCACAGAGTTACAGCCAAACACAGCCTGTATCTTAATCTACGTGGCATCCCGAGGTCTGTTTTTGCTGTAGATCTTGGCACTTTCTACTTCAGTCTCTCCAGTTAATGTTCTCATACTGTGATGCTAAGTTGCAGAAGTGAAAAGTGGGGAGTGAGTTCATGACTGAACTGTCTCATCCTCTCTCTTGTCATGAACTTACTTATGCAAGGTATTGGAGAGTGCAGTCTTAGTAACTGCACCATCCCAAATAAGTATTGTTCTGTTTGGGCACAGCCCTGGTATTTGATTCTTTCCATGTTTTGCCTCATTTCACATCTCATATTCAAAAGTTTGCAACTGAATCTGAAAAGTGAAATCACTTAACTAACATACCCATTTGTGATTTTCAAGCTATCTTAGTTTCAGCTAGTATGACAAAATGTTACTGCTGTTTATTTTACGAATTGATGAAACGCCAGTAGAAATAGGAAGAATGTGAAAATAGGAAGAGAATCAAAGGTGCAACTCTTACCTCCTGTTAGCATTTGCGAGCATTTGCAGATGCATTTGTCATTGTCTGCATCCTTTGTGCTAAAACCATTTCCTGGTTGGCTTATGCTGCTTATTTTGCCGGCTGTACCCGTAAGTCCTTTAAGGTAGATCCTGTAGAAAAATAAAATGGAAAACAAATTAATACATGCTGATGCTTTTGTGGTGGTTCTGCCGTAAAGAGGAAGTATTTTCCAAGAAGTATCCTGTTCGGTTCTCCAATTAATGGTCTGCTATGTTTCTTTTGCAGAGTATGCCAGGCACAGGTCAACAGAATATGTTGTTCTGGAAAAGGAATAACCTGTTTACTTCTGAATTGTACTAGCCTTTTTTAAGAGGTCAGGATAGGTGTTAACTGTTGAGTAACTGCCTATGTCAGTCACCCTAGTGACTCCCTGGTGGATTAAACTACAACTCCCATCAACTAGCATAAGCTGTCTTCTTGCTGGCTGATGATATTGGGAGTTGTACTGGAAGCCATCAGGGCATCAGACAGAGGAATTGATATTGAAATAAAAAAACAGCTGGAAATCTGTATGTCAGATATTATTGATGAGGTCTTCTAAGCCTCCCCTGCCCCCGCCATCATTGATAGTGATGCACTAAATTTGGAATCCAGGTTGAGCTAATAGTCTTTCTAAGATGAAGGGAATAAGTATCTGATTGAGGTTTCCCCTGTTTGTTTATATGAGGGTAGATTAGCTTAGGACCCCGATATATTGTGGAAAAAGGGGGCAGAGGAAATGTGAACCATAATTAATCTTCTCCAATTTTAGTATGTTATGCTTCAGCATAAATTCTTACTTATTCATTTACATCACATGTGAGTAATCCAAGAACCCCCCCCCCCCCCACCACCAGATTTTGCTGCCCTCTCCCACTGTTTTTGCTTCCCTGATAGACTGAGAGAAAGTTAAGTTCACTTGGGGTCTTCACAACCCATTCACCTTCCTTCTCTGCCTGCAAGACATATGCTAGAAGATGAACACTGTTTTTCAGTTTTCTGGTTATTTTGCCCAATTTGAGAGGCCATATAGTTTATATATGTGATATGTCTTAAGGTCCAAGCTGCAAAAATCCTGCTTCTTTGTGGTTAAAGTGTCACGAGTGTGTGTCTGTGTGTGAACCTGAGTGAGTCTGAGACATATAACAGATAGCAAGGGAAAAGGCTTTGCATAGAAATGGTAACCTGTATCGATGTAAGCATGCACATGTGCAGTCCCTAATCCAAGAGTTACGGGCAAAAAGACTGCCTCCCCCTAATTTGCTTGCTCTGTAAGCCTCCACAGTTTAGGGGATTAATAAATAACTCACCTATTCAAAAGGATTGTAATCTGTTAAAAAGGTGTCCCTGGCTAATTATGTAAAGTAAAATATGAAAAACATGTGCTTATCCAGGTGTTGTGTTAAAAGAGCCCCCCTCACCCACATTTTTACCCACACAGGGGCGAATGTTCTTCTTAAGATAGTGCTGCTATTGTGTATACTTGTATCTTCTCAAACTAGAAAAAGTGTCTTAGGTTTTCTTCCTCAAAGTATGAATATATTTATATTCTCGTTTATGTAGCTGTAATCAATTAAGGGGTTAACCTATTAAAATCCATACTATTTAATTAAATAAGATTTATTTCATTGAGTACTAGTGCTTTAGTGTTCCAGCACAGAAAGTAGGCTCCTCTGCAAATCCAGAAGTTAGAATTAAAAGGCTACAATTTATATTCATGGAGAAGAGGTCTTGGTGTGGCTAGAAAAACCTTTTCCTAGCCAACTGCTATAGTGCAGTGTTGAAAGCTGTCCATTTTTATGTCACATTCAGAAACATTTAAGCATTACTCTGAAGGCAGTTTAATCTCTCTCAGAGGTATTATAGAGAAACTGAAGAGAACATATCTCCCCTTGGTATTCACATTTGTCCAGCTGAAAGGTCCCTACTTGTGATTTGTAAAGGTCTGTGAGGATCAACCAGAAAATGTACGAAGATGTAAGCAATGTGGGAATGTAAGCAATGTGAAGATTCAGCATGGCCATGCATGTCTCTTAGTAGACATTAGAGGAGCTGTGCTGAATCACTGACTTCTCTAGCCCCATATTCTGTTTCCCACCAGGGTCAATCAGATGCCTCAGTGGAAGCAATAGGTCATGAATGCAACAGATGCTGGAATACAGAGTCATGCTGCCCCTGATGCTACAGGTACTATGTAGCCATCATGACTAATGGTCACTGATACAGACATATATCTGGAGACATTTTATGACAACTCTCAATATCTGTTTTGAAAATGCTTCATGAAAGACATGGCCTTGATCTAGCAATTGCTTCCTTTGTTGACATGGATAGTATCTAGATAGACTACCTTGGTCCAGGATCTCTGCGTAAATCAAATGTTTGATGCTTAGATAACAGCAAGGAGAGGAGCCTTAAATTAAGTGTTTTCACAAACAGGTGGTTGGTGCCATCAAGGTTATCAACACAAACCATCTCTTTTTTGTGCAGCAAACATCATTGTGCAGGTAACTCAAGGTATATCTTTTCTGTATATGCTCTGTCTGCAAATGCACCATATTCCCTGGATCCTGGTTTTTGGGTAGGGGAGGCTGTCATCACTGCTTTACAAATGATTCCTTCCTTGGTTGCCATCCGAATTCATCTCTATCAGTGTTTATGTTGGCTGTTTCTCTACTGCTTTGCATTTCAATATGTTTAAAATAATAAACAGAAATTGTTTTTAAGTATTGTTGCAGCTTAGTTGCAACTATCTGGTTCACCATAAAATATATCTGTATTGTAAGTCAAGCATGTTTTGAACCACTACATTTTATGGCTCAAAAACTTGGTTGCATTTCCAAAGGAACTATATTTGCAGACTGCCATCTTCATCTGTAGAAATTATTTTTAATAATGTAAATGGACAAGGGTATTGACCCATTTTGCAAAGGTTACCTTTATGAACATTATATTGCCTTAATTTTAAAAAACAAAAACCTTTCCATGGAAGCTAACTCTTTCCAGATGAGGAAATATTTGGATTGGAGTCAGAATCATTTTTTGCTTCCAAGTCATGCAAGATCTACAGCTTTCTGTAAGATAGTGCTGTGATCCACAGAATGCTTAGAGCAATCCTAAGTGGTCTCTGTTAAAGCACCAGGTAGGTCTGACAGAGCAATTCTAATGTGAGGTAAGAGTGAAGTGGTAGATCCTCCAGTAATTCCTAAGACTGATGTTTCACATCAGCCAGACTAGGAAATGTGCATGTGCGGAATGCGTTTCCTATTGTTTTCCTAGTGGTTCCCTGTATTATTTCTGTTCCCTCCCCATGGGTTTCAGTAGGCAGCAGGGGGATTAGATACGCTAGCTGCAGGTGCACATAGAGTCCTTTCTGGTGAACAAAAGAGCTTTGGATGCAGCAGATCAAAAGCTAGCTCCAAGCCATTCCTGCTTCACACACCTAGAACACTCCATTTTGGGGCCTAACACAGGTAATAGGATAATTTCTGTGGAGCTTTCTGCTGGTGTACTGATGGCCTGTATGGTGGATGAACCTTGACGGGGCAATGCCCCAATTTATTTAATGCTTAACTCTCTTAAGACTGCCCCCTAAGGGGTTTGCTTTATTGGCAAAGCTAGGTCTGTAGCTAGGTCAGCTTATGGTCTTGTTAGTAAATTTGTCTTTGCACTTCCTTTTTTGTTTTAACTATAAAGGCAATTACTATGTTTAAAATTGTGAATAACATATTAAAGTATCTGTTCAAGGGGCTTTGTTCTTTCTGAAATGCAGAAGCTTGACAGTTTGTATGGCATCCGAGACATCCAAAACTACTATGGGCTGTCCAAGCAGTATTTAGGGTACAAAGTCATGTATGTTGTAAATGCAAGTATCTTTGTTGCCTGTGAGTATCCTATACTTTCCTATAACACAGTGGCTGAGCCCCAGAGTATGTGTTCTTTCAGACAGGCAAAGCGTTTATCTTGGAATCACACAGGCCCATTCATGGAATTTTATGAAGAATGAAAGAGTCGTTGTCTTCCATTTGTAACTCTCTTGTGCTTTCCTACCACTTCTTCCATCCTTTTTCTTGCCACAGAAAATGCACTAAGAAATTAAAGGGGGACTAGCTGTGCAAATACATATCTATAAACACCCTAGATGTGAAACAAACATCTTTTGTCTAGCATCTGTTAGTTTTAAAACAAAGGCAGTCTTGGCAAGCTGTGAGTTGGAATGGAGAAGGAGGGCTATTTCACACTCCAGGGCTGTTTCACACTCAAAATAAATCTGGGGGGGTATGGTCTCAGGACAAGGTCTCAGTGAAAGAGTCATGCTATGGCTCTTCGCAGACCGGGGGGGGGGGGGGTGGAGGCTGCCATATACAACTGCTGGCCAGCAAGTCATTGGTGGAGAGGTAACCCTGGAGACGGTCTGTGCTGCAGCACGGCACTCTCCAGGGTCATCTCTCTGCTAGTGCCTTGCTCTGGAAAAGGACCTCTCAGAGTTTGGCATTCAGGCTGTGTAGGGTCCCTGAAGAGCCACACCATGACTCTTTCACTGAGCCTGGCGTGGCTCTAAACAGTCACTTGCCTGCCTATGCTTCGCTCAGAGTGAAGCATAGCGTGGTGATGGCAGAAGTCCCAATGCCAACACCTTGTGCCTCTCAGTGGGAGTCACAGAGTTGGCCGACCGGTGCTTCAAAGGATCACTGAAAAGCCTCAGTGGCTGCTTTCCTGCTGAAATAATCCCCACAACGTGAGTGCCTGGCAAGGCTCTCAGGAGCAGCTGTTGGTCAGCCTGTGCCTCACTTTGAGAAGCGCAGGATGATGGCGTCAGGACATCCACTGGCATGTTCTTGAGATCTACTGCCTGAGGCAGACAATTCAACCCTACCCTATGGGAACATATAAGATCGTTTAATATATAATATTTTGTACTGTTGCATTCATTCATTCATTCATTCATTCATTCATTCATTTATTAAGGCATTTTTATGCCACCCCATTCGCCGAAGCCTTGGGGCGGCTTACAAAATTTAATAATTCTCAAATGGAAAAGCATCCTCTTTACATCAGTATAATTCTTCCTTGTGCAAGTTATATTTAGATATATAACAGAACCATTTTTACCCCATCTGAGTTAACTTACCTGTATTTTAATTCTTCACTTGCTAGATAGAAATGTTCATATAAGGAATATGCCTCATTTCCTTCCCAGTCTTTCAAATGTATTTTAAGAACATACTGCTTCTGGTTGGTTACTTGCGAAACCAGCTCATTTCCCAGCCAGTACTCCCCAGAAGGATTCCCAAATCCCTGTAATCCAAATTTGATATTTAAATATAATAGGAGTGTTTTACTTTGAAATTCATGGTTCATGATTTTTTCGTTAATGATAATAATACTGTTATGCTGTCAGCCTGTCACCCCATCAAATGTATTGCACTGCCCAGTTTTCTGGCTCTGTCCAGATTTCTTAGAAGTGGATTTCAACATGTATGAACTTATGAACTTAGGAGTAGGGTCCAGGGAATGGAATGTGTGCACTTGTTAGTTCTCAGGGAAATTTCCAGGAGAATTGTCCAAGTTGTAAAAAGCACTGTAAATTAAACATCTGTGTGTCAATAACCAACATATAGAAGAAGTATAAATTTACATTTAAAAACATAAACATCTCTCATGGCTGTTTCCCCTTAAACAGGTGGGATTACTTGACCTTTACCCAGAGAAAGCACCATATTTTTGTAAGTTGGGTAGTGGTGGTCTGGATGACCCCTGAAGAGTTCTCTGAGCACAGTGTCTGTGCCAAGGCAATGCCACTTAAGGCCTGAGCAAACACTGCACATTCAGGTGACTGAATGACTGAAGAAGGTAGATGACTGGGAGAGATGAGTCAGCCTTATTCCTCCCTCCACTGGCAAGGGAGACAGAGGCAAGTCAGGTCATTGCTCAAGCAGGAAACAAAAGGACGAGCAGGCTGGTGAGCAGGCAGAAGTAGCATTGGAGGAAAATTGCTGACAGCTGAATTGCTTTCTGTAAGAATCCTATGGCACTGGGGTTTTCCTCAACATTTGAGTGTAGAGAAGTATGTGTTTTTGGTATTAATGCCGTGAAGCTCCACCTCTGCTCAAACTTAGAGTTTTAACCAAATGCAAATACTGTAAGTCTATGCTAAGTTCCCCATGTCATCATTCAAAGGAGACCAACCCAGAGTAAGTATTGGAACCCCTGAAACATCACCACTCAGAGACTGGGACACAGTACAGTATTGATCCAAGAGCTGTAGCTCAGCAGTGGAACCCATGGCTTGCATGCAAAGGCCAAAGTTCCAATCCCTCTGCTTCTCCAATGAAAAGGATCTTGTGGCACCATGATCTTAAAACCAAAGAATGAAGGTAAATGGACATCATTTGGAGCAGACTCTTCCAACTTGGTATCTTCCAGATATTTTGGATTTCAGCTCCCATCAGCCTCAGCCAGGATGGCCTGTAGTGAGAAATGCTGAGTACTGTAGTTGAAAACATCTGAAAGGCACCAGGCCTGACTTAGAATATGGAGTGAAAACTCAGAATCTACTCAAGATTGTTCCAAAGTGTATCAAAAGATTATGGCATGAGATAATTCCACCTTACCATTTTGTACTCAATCCATGTTCGGTCAAAGTCTACAGTGCCATCTGAGCGCCGTTGAATAACTGTCCAACCTCCTCCACTGGTTTCCATATCACAATATGCCTGTTGGTACATAGCAAGAAATTACTCACACTTCATTTGAGGGAATTATATATAAGTATATAATATGTATGATTTGGATAGCAGAGGTGTGTGATAGGAAGAAACATACTTCCTTATTTCAACAGTGTAACTAAGATATCCTGTCTAGTATAAAAATAATGTTTTCATAGTCCAGCAGGCATGATAATAAGCATGTACTATAGAACACTTCAGAAAGAAAAAAGCTATACTGAAAATAGAGTACAAAGGCCTCAGTACTCCATCACTACTTACACATATTTATTGATTTGCCTTGTTCCTTGCCTTTCTACGAAAACATGGCATTCAGGGTAGCTTACAATTATAAATAAAACTTTGATAAACCAACACATTAAAATGCACTAAAACAAAGCAACTGCAGAATTAAAACAAAAAACAACACCTAACCCAACAGACCCACTTATAGACCAAAGGCCTTCTTGAATAATGTGGCCTTTTTCTTGTCAGCAGAACAGCAAAGAGAAAGTGAACCTGGCCTTTCTTGGGAGGGAGTGCCATAGCTTGGGAGCAACCATCAAAAGGGTCCTTTCTCAGGTTGCCACTGAATAAGCCTTTGAAGGTTGTTAGTTGTGAAAGAAGGGCCTCTCCTGAAGACCGTAAGACCTGAACAGGCTTATATGGGAGAAGGCAGCCTTTCAGGCAACCTAATCCCAAACTGTAGGGCTTTACAGGTCATAAACACCACTTGTAATTCTGGCTGGTGTATTGCAGAAAGGGATTCACATAGTCATAAACAGTGTTATGCTGATTTTCCCGTTGGGAAGTGGAAGGGAGGAGAGTCTAGGCATGCCTTTCCTTTTGCCCCCATTAGATGATTTAACAATACCACCCACCAATCTTGGTGGAGAAAGTTCATGTGCACGGCCTCCTGAAGCACACTAGGATCCATGGACTGGGGTCTGTTTATCTACATACTCATGCGTTGCAATGAAAGCATATTCCTGAGGTGCTTGCAAAAACTATCTAGAGTCTCTTTCCAGCAGATCCTGTATCTCGCTGCCAATTTTGGTTTCCAAAACACTTCTGTTTTTGTTGTTGAAGTCCTTTCTGTGTTGCTCTGGGGAAGACTGGCATAAAAACCCTAACTGAAAAGCATAATTCATGGATAGAAGCCTGTATAATCAAGGGCTGGATTAGGAATATAATGAAGAATAGAGCATATTATCTTAAAAATGCATGACTAATTCTAATGAACTGTTCAGAGGGTTATTTATTCTGGTGTTTCAGTTTTCTCAACAGGATTGATTTGAATATTTCAACTACTAGAGGGCAAAATTTAGGATTAAAAAGGACAAGAGCGTTTCCCAAGCTTTTCAAATGAATGTTGTTCTAAACTGTAAAAAGAAACTACCGTGTAATTCACAAGATCATTCAACTGCCCTGAGTAGCATTTTAGTTTTATAGTAGCATCATAGATACATTATTTGAAATATGAGACAGAAGGCATAATCTGGAGAAGCACATGCCCAGTGAAATTCTGGCCGAGCTGTTTCTCAAAAAGCAAACAGCTTTTGCAGCTTGTGGCATGGAGGCCTGCTATGTTTGTGATGTGGTGTGGGGGCTGCTATTTCAAGAAACAAAAAGCCACGTCCTACTGGCCTGCGTAAAGCTCATAAATTCCATGCAAAACCAAATATACTGAGGCCCTATTGAATTGTTCTTTTTTATTTAATAAAAGGGGGAAACAAGATCACATTCATAACACAGTGGTATACCTTGGACAAGAAAGTAAGTGTGTCAGTTTTTCATTGTGTTTTCTAATGAAAGCTTGTGGGGAAAAAACAAGATCAGAAATGTACATTGTGCAGCAGTGTTTATAAGTCTCCTGAGAGGTCAGAGTGAGCATTGACAGGAAAAGATCAAAACATAAACAGCTCGAGTCTGGCAAATAAAAGGCCATTCTGTTTCACTGCTTGAAAAGCAATATAAAATAGCAATAATTACACCTGAATTATACAGCAATTTGACATAATAATGTGAAAGTCTATCCATGTCCTTCCTGCGAAAATGTCATCAAAATTTCCCTTCTGAGCAGTTCTGCAGTTTCTACATGTAGGGTGAAATCAACCAGGGCTGCTTTTGCAAAATTTTGATTTTCTTGGGGGCATTATATGGGACTCCATGCAAGCTTCATGGAAGAAGAAACAGAAACAGAGAGAGTTAGAAGGGGCCTCCCAAGCCATCTAGTCTGACCCCCAGCTCCAGCCGGCTCCACTCACGACATGCCCACCAAATGAATGAAAACTCTGCAAGAACAGTGCTTGATGTACTATACCCCTAAAGCTGCAATAATCCATGAAATTTATGCAAATAAGAGGTGGTGTGGTGAAGTCTAGGCCGTATAATCATTGTACTCCGTATGGCAACTCTGGGAATAAAAGCAGTACTGTCATCAGTCATGCTGCCTATTTGCTCTCCTGTTTTTGGTAGGTTTAAAAATAATAGAGGAACATAATAAAATGACGGTATGTAGAAATCCACTGACAGTGGGAAATATATGTAGCTGACAAGTTCTTTTTCATGTTCTTTGTGCATCACAGATTCAGGAAACTTCATAACTGAGGATATTTTGGGGGGAGCCCTCCCCCAATGCCTTTAGGGGTTCCTGCCTCTTCCCTCAGTTCTTGGAGCACCACTCTGGTTGCCCCCAAGGAGCCTCTCATCCACATTTTGGGCTGTGCTTCCTTGTTATTGAGGCTGTATTCTTTTTTATCATGGTTATTCCTTTCTCTCTCTCTCCCTGCCTTTTACTGTATTATTTGTTGTTTTTATTTACTGTGTTCAATCAGATTGCATTTTTTCCTTCAAGCTGTATGGCCTGAAAGCACCACTTCAAAAGCGTGAGAGGTGCTGGAGTAAAGCTCCACTCCCTCTGCTTGTTCTTTCTGAGTGAAGGCATGGGGTAAATACCTGCACCATCAGCCAGGCATTCACCAAGTGGTCCTGCAGAAATCAATCTGACTGTATTTCCACATTGCTTTCAAGGGGTCAAGTCAATGCTACCTTCAGCTCGGCATTAGAATGGGACACCTACCAGCCAGTTCTATGTGCTTTCCTTTGGTTTTCCCTAATCTTTACAAAATGAGTTGCTCCAGTGTGTAGTCTCTGTGCAAACCACAAGAAATCTATCCTCATACCTATGCAGGCAATCCTTGCAAAGTTACAAGTAGTTATCTGTAAGCTTTCCACTGTTCTCATCTTTTGTTGGTGCACTGAATAAGGATTACTTTTTATGAAAAAAAGTATTAAAAAGACAACTTGTTAAAAGCAAATCTACATCCTGGGGGGAGTAAAGTTCTCCATCTTATTAGAATATTCTCCATACAGGTGATATGCATAAAGATAGATTATGGGAAAAGAGTTTACCTGTCTTCCATGCAGTTGCGCTGCTGCTCTTTCTTTTTCTCTTTCTATATTGGCAAGTACAATTCCTAACTGACTTTAAAATGAGGACAGGCAAGCTGTGTCACTTAGGTTATTATCAAATGCTTTCTGCATGTGATCAGTTGAGACTTCTGGCAAGGATAGTGCCCCTTCCCAGATAACCTACAGCATTGGAGGGAAGAGTGAGGTGGGGGATGGATGGATGGATGGATGGATGGATGGAAGAAAAGGAGGAGCTAAAAGACATGGCTCATCCTCTTTTGTTGTGACACTACCCAAAACTGTCTTTGGGCTTCACCACTGTTGATATATGGTACTTGATGGGAAAAAAATATTGTCAACATCTGCTTTAAAGTTCTTAAATCAATTTAACCAAGATAATGCTATACCTTTTTTTCCTCTCCTGTGTTAGGCACTGTTAATGTGTAGACTCCATTTGTTGTAAGTCCTGATTTGAATGCTTCAGCACAATCTTGTAAATGAATTTGTTCTTCTCCAGCCACTAATGCATTACTGGATGCTGAAATGTGTAAACATAAAAATGTATTAAGAATGGCTAATGTCATTGAAAAATATCAAAGATATTTGCCATCAAATTGACTTCATTGTAAACATTCTCTGTTTGTCCCATACACACCATTCATTCCAAGCTTTTCTGTTTAGGTAGTTTGCTTAAAATACAATTCAGTTTGCTTAAAATACAAGGTTACTTCCATCCTTTTAATTGTTTTTCCACACTTCTCTGAGAGTTGACACTTTTAGAAGCACCCCCTTGGCTTTGGCAAATGTTCAGGCTTTTTTTCCACATTGGTGCCAAAGCCAAACCTTTTGTTTACTTGTTTGTGCTCCAGTTAAAAGATAACATCAGTCAAAACATGCACAGCTTTGGAAATGTTTTTAAGATACTATTTTAATCCTTCCAGGACTAAATTGCCCAGAACAGATCACAACAGCATTTCTGAAAGAAAAAAAATCTTCTGAATTAGTTATTAAACTTTAACTTATATTATTTAAATATTTTCATTATAAATGAAACCTTCAGCAAAAAATGCAGTATGGAATACTCTTGTTCAGGAGCAACTTTTCCAACCAAACTCTTTCCCAGGATATCCCATCCTATCCCTCCATTTCCATTTCCCCACCACCACTACCAAAAAGCCCCTTTCAGCCAGCATTCTGCCCTCACTGGACATGCTCAGTTCTTCCCTCTTCCCCTACAACTTAGGGTTGTTTGTTACTTCTGCAAATTTTGGGCTCACCGAAGCTTGCAACTCATTTTGCACAGTCGGGGTCATTTTTAATACCTAAGGATTCATACTTGAATTATTACTTAAGTATTACTAGTATATAGCTTTATTGTAATCTCTCAATTATGGGATACATTTTATTAGTGAATACCCTCTGAAGTTCTGAGCCCATTCAAGTTTAGATAAGACAGCTTTCATGTCAGCTTTTCAGAACTGTGAATTGAATTCTGTGTGTTCTGTTATGGAGAAGATCTTCAGAATCCTAAGATCAGGGCTGCTTCTTAAGCAAGAGCTGCTAGAGCCACCAGTTAGAGGGCATTGGGCAACTATACAACCTCTTCCTTCTTAACAGATTTGATTCACATGTTTGATTTTAAGAGAAGGAAAAGAAGAGATGGGAAAACATGGAAGGTTACAAGTGGAAGATGAGTTTTGATTCCTCAAAGGGTTAATTAATTGTGATACTAGAGAGCAACTGGAATTATATTTGGCAGAAGTTAGTCCTCTGTGGTTACTTTGACATAGTGCCAGACATTGTTCTGGCCCTGTGGGTGACCCACAGGCTTGTCATTCTCAGAATTACTATGGTATGAGGCTTAACACCCACACATGGAAACAGACTCACCAAATTTCACATTGGTGCCAAACCCAAGACAGTTTTGGCATTCTTATGGAGCCTTCCATCTCAAATGCGCCATTCTTTCAGGGTTGTGCTCTGAATTGCTTTGTTTATGCCCACACAGCTAAGGAGTAACACTGACCTAAGTCTACAGTAAGGGATGGGCTGACTCCAGAATGGAAGCCACAGCCTTGAACTTGGAAGAGCTAGCTGGGGCTGTTGTGCTGTGGGCAGGACGTTTTGAAGGGCTTTCCTTCATGGGGCTGCTGTAGGTCGGGGACAACTTGATGACACACAACAAACAAGTCTATAGTCCTGCTAGAGGTATACTTTAAGAAAGAAGCTCATGCGGATGGGAGTGTTTGACCAAAAGGCATTTGTTTCTCACTGTAGCAACTGCTATGTGTTCTAGTTCATCACTGTAACAATAACAGTGCGTTCTACTTCACTTACGATTTGGTGTGGCGATCATAGAAAATAGGTTCTGCACAGTCTCCCTCAGATCATGCTGCTGTTTCTGCAGGTATGAGTTATTAGCCGTGGCAGTGACCAGCTGCTTCTCTAAAGCTTCTATTATGGAATTCTGTCTGGAAACCAGTGACTGCAGTGTTTCTTTCTCGTCTTTTATTGATTGTAGCTGGAGAGTGTGCTTGTCTTCCATTTCGAGGACTTTTTTTTCTAAAAGGCTAACAAATAACAACAACAACAACACCTTGTGACTGGTGCTTCATTTCCATGTGGCTAAAGTGAAAAAACAAATAAACTGAGCCAGTTAAGGAACCATGATTATCCATTGTAGGGTCAAGTAAGATGTTATTTGCCATTTTTAAAAATCAGTTTGGTAAGACTCTGAAATATGCTTCCTGTCTCCCCTAATAGGCAGGGAAAAAGTAATGTCCTATCCAAGCTATACCATCATTAATTGCATGCAGCATGTCTCTAATTTCCTCATCCGTTTCCTCCAAAGAGTGGTAGTTTTCCATTACAGCAGCAGAGAGATTCCCAGTACTGTATGTATTCGGTGCTTAAACAATCCAAATTCTGCACCCTGTACAAACTATTCAAATCATGAAAAATATGCATAATTTTCTTTTGTTTCTTATAGTTCTGCAGTGTTTACTGTTTTGCATAGTCAGTTCTGATTTTGATAATTGTAGGGAGGAGTCAGGATCTGTGAAGGGCAATAAATCACTGTTCCCAAGGCCTGGAAATTTACTGAGTTTGCCCTCAGTTTCAGAGATTTCAGAAGACATTGCCTACATGAATGCAAATATAGTTACATAAGAGCTACAGATTTGCTTTTTAATAAATGAAAGCTGAGATTCTTCAGATATTGATATCTGCATTTAGTACTGTTCCCTGTGCTCCTGCTTGAATTGAAAATATCCTTGGATATTTTGCATTCCAATAAGTGCAGAAGAGTCTGGATTTACATGTATGAACAATGATTCTGATGTGGTCGCTCCTACTATAGTGTAAGACAGGAGCGGGAAATTTCCAGGCCAGAAATTAAATTTAGCTCTCCAGAGTTCCCCAGATGGCCATGCTTCCTTCCACTTTCCCTCAACTATACATTCTTTAATGGTTTCGCAACATATGTGCAATTTTCCTTAGTGATTGGCAGTAAGGGCTTTAAGCAACACTCTACTGGCATCGTTGGCATTTTGGCTCTGTCCTCTTTTCCTTTGTCCTAGCAAGCACCTGTATGCACACTGCCCAAGAGCTTCTCTCAAACTGAATTTGGACCTTAGGCAAAAAGGGGTTCCCTATCAGGTCCTAGAATACTACTGAAAGATAGAAACAAAGCATTCCTATTTTTTCCATGGTATGCCTGAAAAACTATTGGGTCAGTAGACTTGAGTTTTTCTTTTCTCGCATTCTACTGAAGAGTCTTGAACAGTGTGTATTCCAAGGTGTATTTGTTCTATAAATACTTGTTACTTTTACAGTAGGCAGCAAATGGCATGTGATATATTCTATGCCCTAGCTATGCTTACTACAATAAACAGCATTATGACATTGAACGCATTGGCTCTTCCTGGGTAAAGTATCTTGTTTGCGTAAAATAAAGCAGGCAGGAGCATACTCAAATATAGCAGGGGAGTGAAGGCAGATGGGAAAACATGCCCTTTCCCCTTCACATTAATATTTACTGGAAATAAGTAGTTCTTGCAGCAGATAATACCTAATTAATACTAGAGTTTGGCTATTCAGCCATGCATTGTCCTGCTGCAAATATAAAGTAGTAGTAGACTGATTTGACATGTGTTTGGTCTTCATATCAGAAAACAGCTTGGTTTTCTCCATAATAGAGGAGATGACATATCACTTGCTCACTAAAACAACTAAAAACTGTTAAGCAGAACAGATGGCCTAATTATACATTCCCTATTGATAACTTGCATTGGTAATGAATTATAGTATTTAGAGAACAACAAAGATGATTTTTCTTACATATAGAACTAGCCAACTGCAGGTCATACAAAAAGCTAATGGAGTGAGGGAAGGTCACAATTCTCCTGTCTTCTCCAGCTGGCCTATTGTGATTCCAGCTCAGCAAGAAATTTTAAAAGTTCTGTTGGCCAACTTTCATTCAGATATTCTGAGTAAAGGAACAAAGACTCACGTTCCATCGATGATGTACATGGAGTATAGATGCAGGCAGGGATCATGTCTGCTTTTCAACAGATGCCAAAATAAGTGCTTGCCAAAACTGGAGTCAAATGTTTATCTCTTACAATTGACAATAAAATTTTGTTGTAGCATGCAGAGCAGCTAGATTGCCCGATTTTGCCCGGCAAACGTCCTTGCTCCATTAGGAGCAATGAGGGACGTTCACTGTACTTGGAAAGCCAGTAGTTAAAATGGCTTTCAAAGTCTCCATCTTGTTGACCCAGTCAGAGTTACCAGATTTACAGCACCTCTGACTATTGGGAATGCTGACAGGAGATAATGGGAATTGTACTCCAACAACATCTGAGCGCCCACAGTCAGGGAAAGCTGATAAAGAGAAAAGGGGCATGAAAAGAAATGGGGACAGCTGATCTCAGAGTATGAAGCAAATCTTGCTATTCCTACCAGAATTTTTCTCTGAATTAGCGTGTACAAGAAATGAAATTCTTATGCTAATACTTCTACTGAGCTCAGAGCTGATAAATCATCTCCCTCAGAAAGCTCAGCTGAAGATTAGACTGGCATTCCTTGTGTCTTGCATTGACTAAGTATGGGACCATTCTCCCTTTTTGGACCGTAAATATGATTTACTCTTTGTGAAGGTGAAGACTAAATTGTTGAGTTTAAGCAAGGATCGGAAGGCATAAGGTCTCAGTTCAGCACATGGTTATTTCACTTTTCAGTGGGAACTTGTCTGTATAACTTGTATTCTACATTGTGCATCCGTGTAAAGAAGTAGCATCTTAAAGTTAGGCACAATTCAGAAATTCCACGCATATAAGCAACATTTCCTGGTATTAACCAGTCATTTCAGTTTACGTTATCACTGTTCACTGAATGAAAGACTTGAAATATGTTTTTTTGAAAGCCATTCCTGAGAGTTAACACAACTAGTTATTTGACTACATCTTTTGCTGCTAGGAAAAACGTAACCATTGATATCAACAGTACATTACTGAATATGAAGAGTTATTACCTGTTTTTTTCCTGCAGTTTACCCATCTCACTGGTCTGGTCTGAAATCTGCCTTTCTAGCTTATTTGTTGAAAGGGAATGTGCTAGAAGCTGAAGCTCAAGTCTTGTTGTCTGATTCAGTACCTGCATTTGAAAAATGAAATTTTCAATTATACTTTGAAATTTCAGAGTCATTTTCAATCATACTCTGAAGGTCACTAAACATGCAATTCTTACTACCTTGAATTAGGAGAAAAGAAAAACTCTCTTCGGTTTGCTAAAAGCAGTATTTCCCATGGGTACATTTATGACAAGGCATACATGTAATGTAATAATATAAATAATTGCTCTTAACCTTTAGAAATTTGTTTCATGTTTGTTTTTTCAAATTTTCCCCTGTGCTGTCACAGTTTGTTTTTTCTTCTCCAATAACTGTTCTGTGGTTTCAGTTTTAATGTGATTCTACTTTTTCATCTGCTTCTTAATGTATGTTCTTTTTAAGTCTCAAGAATGACATCTGTTTTTAAAAATGAGGAAACAGTACTGAGCACTGTCATGCAGTGTGTTGCTTTCCGTTCATTCTGCTACATGCTCTTTAGTCCGTATCACTTCCCTCATCGTGCTTTAAAACAACTGTTTTAATTCATCATAATTTGGCTGGAGTTAACAGCAGGAATTTATTACTCACATCCTTCATGTTGAACAGTCATTCAGGACATGATTTCACGCTTCAGTGTATTTCCAAATTGTTGCTGAAGATTTTTTTTTTAATTATACTGACCTTCATCATATCAGATTTCATGTACAGAATAAAATAAATACAGTCACCTTCCCAAAGAAAGATAAAACATAAAAACAAGCTGCAACAAGTTGGCTTGGGTCAGGACAACAAGCAACAATCCTAACAATCCATGGCTTACTGTAGAGGTTATCACAGGCAGAAGGGGTTGCCATGTTTTCTGAACCCCAGAGACTAACCTGCTATGCAGGAAATGGTGACTGACCCACTTGGCAAGAATGCCAAATCCCCCCCCCCACTCTTCTTGGTGAACTTCTCCCTAATGCCTTCAGTGACAGCGGCTCCACTGATGTCCAAACAGCACTTTGGAGCAACCATCTTCATCTTGTTGCCCTTTGTGGGAGCAGAAATATGGACAATTAAGCTTTTTGCTTATTTATTTTGATCCTGCACAGTTGCACACTTCCACAAGCTCAAAATATAAAGTCTTCTTGGGCCAATATCCTGCTACATGTCTGTAGCCAAAGCACAGAAGGAAATGACCCTGGGCATTGACCAAATAAGGCTGCATATAGGTTAAATTGTGCACAGGGACAAGCTGACAGCTGGCAAGCTGTCAGCTGAAAAGCAAAGCAGCAAAGAAGAAGGCTTTGCCGTGAAAGGGATGGTATGCCTATTTTTCTGTCCCCAAAAAAAACAAACCCAAACTCAAATATGGCAGACTTTTAAAAATAACCCTTTGTACATTTTAAACAGCCATAATGGTACATCCACACTGTGGACTGTTCTGCAAATAACCCACATTTATTTGTGGGATGCATTGTTGTGTTACACAAACTTCCTCTTTATGAACAAGATATTTTAAGAGGATAACAGCTACCAAGAAACCTTCCTTGAGATAATCATCTCTCCGATGGGAAAGGTAGATGGAGAAAGGCCTCTGCGGAAGTTCCTTTAAAAGAGACAGGTTGTTATGGGAGTAGGTGCTCTTTCAGATATTTGGATCCCAAGGTATTTATGGTTTTAAAAGTAAGAACAGGTACCTTGCATTGAGCCCAGAAGCAATCAGGCAACCAAAGATGGTTGTAGAATTGGCACAACTGTTTTGGTACTAAGTGAATCTTCTGAACAACACATTGCTCTTATCCAGGCAAGAAGTTGCCAGAACTAGGATCTATGAGAGAGCAAGTGTTTTCCTAATCCTCAGATGTTCTTAATTAAACCTCATACAAACACAGCCGCCAGTACGGATCTTTGGCTTTCGAGCAGAATTACTAACTTTGTTATTTATTTATAATGTATGTGTTTATAATGCATCAATACAGGATGGGGAATACTTGGCTCAGCAGTACTGCAAAAGAGAAAGGCCTTGGAGTGGATGTGGACAACAAGCTAAATATGAGCCAACAATGCAGTGTAGCCACTAAAAAGGCAAATGCTATTAATAATTTTCAAATCACAAGAAGTACTAGTTCCCCTATGCTCAACACTAGTCATACTTCATCTAGAGTACTGTGTCCAGTTCTGGGCACCAAAATTTAAGAAAGATGCAGAAAAAATGGGAAGGGAATGATCAAAGTTCTGAGGAACTTTGAATCAAAATGATCAAATTGGGAATGATCGAAGTTCTGGGGAAAAAAATAGGGCATTTCTGTTTTGGGAGAATATTCAAAACTGTAACCCCACAATTTCTGTCTGAAATGGTATTTCCCAGAACTCTGTCATTGCATTTTGGGCCATAAATAGAATGCTTTGAGTTTAATGCTAAAAATGCTAAAAATGCAGAAAAGCTTTCCCAACTTGGTACCCTCCAGATGTCTTGAATGCCTTCTTCCAGCATTTCTTATTGTTGGCCATTTTGGTTGGAGCCAATCAGTGCTGAAAGCTAAAAACATCTGGAGAGCTGGGGAAGGCTGATATTAAAAAATCCTCTTAAGTAAATACTTGTGTTGATTTAGATACATGCTAGCAAAGCAGTTTTCCTCCCCCCCCCCCAATGTAAAAATCTGGAAACTAATCATAACTTTTTACAAATTCTTACAAATTACTCTTACTGTGAGAAATGTAAGGAACTTTGAAATAAATTTATTATTTCAGGACGTCTTATTGTTTGTTCTGTAAATATAATCGTTTGTGGTTATTCCATAATAACCACACTTTGGATGGAATTTGACTTGAGATCTATAATGAGGGCCATCCCCTCTCTCCCAGTCTGAGTATGGGAACCTCTCTGTTCCTCTTGAGGAACCACAATTGATTTGGGACTTGGACATTAACTTGAAAAAATGTGGCAATTTATTTTTCTTTGTAGCTTCCTGTTACTTCTTAACCTTTCTCCCACTCAGTTCAAGCTTTTCATTTATTTTACAGTTAAATAATAACTATTGAAATACTAATGCTTATCCAAGTTTCCTCACTAATTATGCCTTCCATAAGGGCACATACAGTAATTTAGGCTTTGGCAGCAGTTGCTTGAGTCCTACATAAAGGGCTGAAGCAGATATTTGTTCAGGATTTTGATCCAGGGTTTTATCTGGATCTCTCCATTCTAGGCCTCCTCTGTGATGGGAAGAGGAGGAGGAGTGCTGGAGGCCTTCGTAAAGCACTTTTGCAAATCAAAGTGCAAAGCAGAAAGACAAAGGGCAAAGTGTCATTCTGGAATCAGAATGAAGATGCTGCCTTATATAGGCAATTGGTCCATCTAGTTCAATATTGTCAACACAACAGTTGTCCCCAATATTTCAGGCAGAATTCGTTCCCATGCCTACCTGGAGATACTAGAAATTGAACTGGTGATCTTCTTAATGCAAAATATATGCTATATGGCTGCTGCCCACAATAAAGTAGTGAATTTTTTAGATAACTGCAAGCACTGCATAGCCTGCCCCTTCCTGCTTGTCCTCCAGTTGTTTCTCCCTATTCATCCTGTGGCCAAGTTTTAATCTCTGTTATTCCAATGTCTGGGTACTACTCAACTGTCCTAATCTGTGTCCATCCCTCTAAAATATTTTTTCTCTCTTCTACCTCTTTCAATTGCAAACTAGACAAGTGGCTGTAGTATATGAGTGCTGAGGTTTCAGACAAACCTCATCTTTGGGTCCTTGCCATTTTTAGCTGATAAAATCAGTCAGGGCTGGGCTATGTATTTGGACTTTTGGGGTTATAACTACTTTGTTCAGAAGTGGTATAATTCCAGCCACCATGAACAAAGCAAGGGTAAACCTTAAGTCACATTTGGATCTTTTGGCTTGACAGCTCCACGCAGTCTTAGAGGGCACTGATCGCTAGATGTTTTCCAATCTGATTTTTGTCATTGGTTTGGGACTGGTACAGCCTTGGTTGCCTTAGACTTATGCTGCAGAACAAACAATGGACTGCAACTCCATTAGTTATCCTGGACTTCTCAGCAGATCTTGATACAATAACCACAGTACCCTTCCTGATGAGATCTCTGGACTGAGAGTCAGTGTCACGGTGGCTCTGGTTTTTCCTGAAGAAACAGATCCAGAAGGTGGTGCTGAGAAACTTCTGTTCCAGCCAATGAACACTGGCCATTCTTATGCCTCAATGTTCTATCTCATCTCCTATGCTTTTAATCTAGATGAAACCACTGGGAAATGTCACCCAGAGGTTTTGGTGGTCGTGCCATCACTATGCAAATGACATTATGTTCTAACTCATCTTTCCATCATCTAATCCCAATGATACAGTGGAAAATCTGAACTGGTCTCTAAAAACAGTTTTGGCATGATGAGGCAAACAAGCTAAAGCTAAATCTTGACAAGTTGGAGGTCCTGTTAGTTGGGAGCCCTTCTGGTCTGAACGCAGATGTACAGCCTATCTTGCCAACTGTACACTGGTTACTGGTATTCACCATACATAAAGAGGCATTTACTTTGTGCATCTGCTGAATTCTGTGGAAGATTTTATTGATGGCGAAGGTCAGTCTTCTACACAATTGCAGAGCTAACCATACCACGCTCTGTGCCTTTCCCTTCTTATAATCTCATTCCTTCCAATGTAATGGTAGGTTATGCTTTTTAAGAACAAAAAGATAATTGGCATGCACAATATATTGCACATTGCTTTTTTGGATGCAGAATTATTTCAGGTTGTACTATTGGTACTTACATGCGCTTCAACATCTGTTAATTTTCGTGTCTGTTCAGCTGTTTGATTTAATAGGTTAGTGCCTATTTCAATCATTACAGCCGTCTGGTTCTGCACTGCATTCTGCTGGATCTCCACCATTTCTTTTTTCATGTTATCTTGGATATAATTTTCGAGCTGCAAGGCAGAAAAAAGAGACTGTTGATGTTCTTATATGGTTTTGTTTGCTTATAAGCATGTTCAGTATTTGTATTTCTTAAACTTCATGCACTTACCCTCTCAGGTTTTTTAAATATTTAACAGGCAAAGCAAAACAGGGGAGCTGTAATAAGTCACACATCAGTAACTGGAGACTCCCGAGCCAAATGGTAACCAGTAGCCAGCATAGGCAGGTTGGGATAGAGGGGGAGAAGGTGAAGGAAAGGAAGTGGTTGTGATAGCCATGGGACTTCCCAGCAATTACATGCTGTCCTGTCATGCTTACCTCCCTCTTCGTAGTGGCCCACCAGTAAGAACTAATGACTAACTTAGGTTGAAATTCTTCATTTAAATAAAATAAAATAATGACTAATTTAGGGCTGTAATTGGTGGTGGGGCATGTTGTCCATATACTCAATTTATGTGGGATAGTTCCTATTTTTAATACATATTTGTGGTAAAACTGGTTTGTATAACGCTAGCAGGAGGAATATGAGGTGACACTGTTTTACCAATAACTGTGTAAGTAGCAGCATAACAACTAGCACAAGAAAACACCTAATATAATGAGGGTGTGAGAACCAGAATTGGATTTTATAGTAATGAAAAGATAAAAATTTAATTTCTGTGAGTTGTAGAAGTTGGCAAAAATGACATCATTGGGGACAATCTGCTTTTTAACACTTAGGGGAAATATTGCGGTGTTCTTTTTAAGCTTATATGCATAATCCTGGATTAGAATTCTTCAGTTTTCCTTAGTAGACAAACATTAAATGTCTGAGTGGGAGAGAAGGCATCTTGAGTGTACCACTTGTCTATGCACAAACACACACACTGCAAGCATACAGCTTTCCTTCCATTCCCACCTGTCTATAATCAGCTAATTGGGCAATTGATGTTGCTGAAAGTGTCTCAAGTGGCAGCAACTTAATATGGTCAGATCCTTGGAAAGATTAAATATTCTGTTGAACATTACCTGAGTGCAAAGGGTTGAAAACACTGAACAACCAGTGGCCACCAGAACATATGTTCTATTTTAATGAAACCATTTATAGACATGGTTTATAATAATAACATGGTAACCATTTCTTCAGAAGTTTGTGCAGGACAGGCTATTTGAGGTCAATGCAGCATGCGGGAGGCGGTGAAGGTGTTCAGGTAGTGGTGCTTGTTGTTGGAAAAATGTTACAGAAATGCCCATGTGTCCGTATTTTCATCTGTGTCGAATGTTCAAAACTATGCATTCTTTAGCACTGCTCTGGGCATGTGCTTCAGTTTAAGAGCTGTAAAAAGCCGAGTGGCTCTCTGAAGACTTGGCTACAGAGCCGCTTCCCACCATTGTCACTTCCAGTGGCTGTGTGCCTGTGTTAGCAATAGTGGAAATTTTATTTAGAGATGAGAGTAGTTTAGACAAAAGCTCGAGAGTTTAATCTCCTTCCTGAACCAAAAGTTGAAATATGGGTATCTCATACCTACGTTGTTGGGAATTAGGCAAGCAGTCTGGTATGCTATAACAATGTTGTTTGTGTATTGTTAGTTGACTTTCAGACAAACAAAATATAAAAAGCATGGGTGAGAAACAATGTCTTCCTTCAAGGAATGCCAAATAAGAACTGTTTCGAAATTATCTCAGGCCACGTTCTCATAACTGTTTCAGCATATGTAGTCAGCAGCATATTCCAAAGCTTTAATGAATTAGTTATATTTAGTTTTAGCTGTTCAGCTTCTTACTAATTGGCAAATATGTTACCTTTCTTTATATCCTTCATTCTCAAGAAACTGAGTCTCTCTTTCTCAATCCGCGTTCCATAACATATCTTAAGGCCTCTTATCCCTTTTCCTGTATTAACAAAAAAAACCTAGCAGTAATCACATTTCAGGTCCTTTTTGACCCCAGACAAATGTAGGTTAAGCAAGAAAATGCTGCCTCTAAAAAGCCTTTGTTCTGGATGCAATTTCCCTCTGAGGGATTCAAGAAACATAACAATGGCTTTTAGCTATCAGCAAGTGCAGATAACTTAAGGTTTAATCCTTCCTGAGGGTATGCAAAATAAGAAATCTGCATAAAAATGCTACGCCTATTGATTTTTATAATGATGGTTTGGCCTATTAACTTTTTTTAAATCCTGCAATGGAATCTAATTCTATTTCCTTGAAAGTTAAGTTAATCTAATTCTCTTAATTCTTTTTTGAGGGGAGAAGGGCTGTTGTTTGGAGTATAAAAGTATTCAACAGAGCTTCTGGGGTACTTCTGTACCCCAGACATGTTTTGTTTTATGGAGGAGGAGCCATTAAAAAGATTGGGAAGCTGATTGGGAACATTTAAGACTTTTGGGGTACTTTGTCACAATGTCCAAGAAGGAATCACTAGGATAATTTGTGTGTAAATTACAGTACAGAATGTGAGCTGGGGTGTCAGTTACCCTATTATGCAAGATAAGGAAGGATGGTCTGAAACTCAGAGGGAAAGCATTTGTTTGCATACCAAAGATCCCAGGTTCAAGTAGGGCTTGAATAGCTCTCTGAAACCTTGGAGAGCCACTACCAGTCAGTGTCAAAAGCATTGAATTAGATAGATGAATGGCCTAACTTGGTATCAGGTACTTCTTATGTTTCTCTTCTCCTGCAAATCATCTCCCTTGCAGTTGGAAGTACTACATTAAATTCCCTAAGCATACATCTTACTACTTGGCAAGCCTCATTCCTAACATGATATAATTATGAATAATTCTGCCAATGGGTAATATTCAACATCATGTCTCTTTCTTGCTATGTGACTTTTACTCTCTTACTGATTTGGTTCCGCTGGGTACTTGTTCTATCACCATTCATAATGGTGGTTGGCACCCATTGCAATCCACCACAGTTTAAGTCATAGTGAAAACTGCTGATTGTGTAAGCCAGCCATGCATGTATAAGCATGTGAATGCATTTTGGGGCAGACAGACAGCTTACAGTTTTTAAGAAAATAAAGGGAAACTTTAGATTTAGCACATACCATTCCTTAAACACTAGTCTGAACTACATTATTAGTTATTCTGAAAGTTAGAATAGATTTGCCAATTCCTGTTTGAAATGACTACTCTCAATGATCCTTGTTTATATCTGTTTTATAGGATGTCAGACACCAGACTAACAAATTGGTTGTGCTGTTCCAGAGATGTTTTAGTTATACTTCATCTATGTGATTTATAATTCTACATTGATGAAGATTAACTTCTCCTAGTTTAGGTTTCTTCAATGTAACTAGCCATTTGTGTTCTTGGCAGCAACAGTTGTGTACAGAACTTTGCATTTTTGCCAGTTAAGTGCAACCCTTTATGAATGGCACAAGTATATATTGGAGTGCATGATGCAGATCACTACATGAAAAATACACCCAACTTGAACATTAATAAAATTTAACCTCAAAACATTTTGCTGCCTGGACACAATAAGGACACAAGCAAAGGGGCTTGGGCATGCCCTCTGGAATTCTTGACTTATTTTCAAACAGCAGATCTCCCAAGGCTGTATCAAATACTTTTCAAAGTCCTGTCACGCTGTGGCATGAGAGAAGGCCTAGTGTTTGAAAGCTCATCACGTGAAATTGGCTGCACATTTTTTTTAGACCATGTCCTGAGCTGAAGCAAGAAAGGGCTACTTTAGGCATCCTGAAGAGTTTGAATTCTATATTGTCTTCTGTATCAATTTTTTAAAGACATGGTTGTAATTCAGGTTACATGTATAAACATGTGCACATGCATGAAGTCACTAATGCCACATAGAGGAGAAGATTAGGAACAAGAAGCTAGGCATGAAGGTGTGTTTGGAGATGAAAGTTAGGCCATTCATCTATCGAAAAGACATTCTCCTACATCTCCGTATACTTTCCTGCAAGTATAAAGGGATTTATACTTTCCTACATCTCCTTGATGTGGGTTCCATCTGTGGATTAGTAGCAGAAGAGAGCTGTGTCAATATAAACCAACTTTCCCCAGCCTGGTGCTCTCCAGATGATTTGGTCTCCCTGCATTCAACTATTGGCCATGTGGCTGCAGCTGATGGGAAGTGGCTGAAAACTTTGGGAGGGGGCACCAAATTGAGGCAGGCTGATATAATTGCCTGGATATAATTGTGTGGATAATAATGGGAGGGAGCATGGATAAAGCAGGAGGGAGTTTCCTGTCCCGGAAAGCCTTTTTTCCCATTCTACAGCTTTTTCCCTCTACCACCAGCCACCACCTCACTCACAGCTTCCTGGCCTTTGCAGTGAATGGCCCAAGATAACCTAGTACGTTCTGTGGCTGAGCAGGTCACATCACCATAGGGGTGGAAAGTACAAGCACAAGCCCTGCCAAGAGTGAGATATGGCAATGGAGAGGGAAAATGCTGCCCTGCATTTGCTCCCTTCCTCCCCTTTCCTTGGATTTTCAGCATCCGAGTCTAGAATAATGGACATGGATTTTTAGGTTCCTCACTACCCAAAAGAAAAATAGATGGCAACCATTGGGGTGTTCAGTTTTGAATAAATGAACTGTCAGCTCAATCAATTGCTTTTGATGAGTCATAGGAATTTTGAAAGTGCTGTTACGTGTAGGTTAGAAAGTTTCTAGGATCACAGATGTTTCAGTGGAATCAGCTCTGGACTGACATAACACATGAGGTGGTCTAAGGAGCTGAGTTTTAAAAGAACAGGAAAAAAAAGCTGGGACATATTGTAGCTGAGGTACTGGAGTTCATACCTTACCCATGGTTTACTGAATTTAAATGTCTCTAGGTAGAACCAGAAAATTTGGCCTTTGGCTGGGTTCAATCCAGAAATATCAGGACTACATTTAATAATCTATCCAAAAATCATTTTGTGCTTAGCAGTTAAAGAGCATTTAATGTCACTGTGTATCTGTCATATTGAGTCCTGAGAAACCACATAGGTCAGTTTTGCACAGCATGAAAGGACCAATGTTCTTAGGAAATATATGAATTCAATCTAGGCTACT